AAGTTCACATTCATCGATTTATTCCAAATGATCGTTAGACTAAGTAAGGCACAGACTGACCATTATAAGGGTAAAATGATACCCGGGGTCAAACAGCAAAGTTACCACAGCATCACAACCAAGTCAGCAACGGGTAAATCCTCTGTTTGCCAAACAAGCATTGATCCGACGTGGCATACTCCTAATGAGACGTCTATGGTCATTTTGGTCCAGATTGTCCCATTCCTGTTGCAACGCAGCAGCAAGTTCTTGGACATTGGCAGGATGTTGTTGACGTTGACGTAACCTCTGTCCAAGCATGTCCCAGACATGCTCGATGGGGGAGAGGTCGGGACTCAGTGCTGGCCAAGGTAATGTGGTGATGTTCTGTTGTTGGAGGTAACCTGTAACGATCCTGGCCCTGTGACATCTTGCGTTGTCATCCTGGAAGATGAAACGGCGGCCATGACGTCGTGCGAACGGCACATGGACTGCCAAGATGTTGTCCCGGTAGTACTGGCCTGTAACACGCCCAGCAACAACATGTAAAGCCGTTCTTCCAGCAACAGTGATGCCTCCCCACACCATAACAGAACCACCCCCAAATCGATCATGTCTGATGACGTTAACGTCTTGGAAGCGCTCGTTTCGACGACGCCACACCCTCCTACGTCTGTCCAAAAAATCAACAGTGAACCTTGACTCATCTGAAAACATCACATTGCTCCAGCGTCGATTATCCCAGTGTTGACGATCCCTACACCAACGACGTCTTGCCTGAATGTGATGATCTCTCAAACAAGGGAGCACGCGAGGACGTCGGGCGCGAAGGTGACCCCTATGCAGTCGATTCAGAATCGTCTGGCCACTCACTCTCACACCAGTGTCTGTTTGAAGACGAGCGCTGATCTGATTTGCTGTGATGACACGATTTCTCAAGGCCAAGGTACGGATAAATCGATCCTGGGCTTGAGTTGTCGCCCTTGGTCGACCTGAGCGTGGTCTGTCCTGTACAGATTGTGTATCACGGTATGTGGACCATAGCCTGCTTATGACAGACTGAGAAACATTCATCGTCCGCGCCACAACCGCCTGTGTTGTGCCGATCTGTAGCATGCCAAGGGCACGTAACCTTTCATTTTGGGTAAGCCGACGCATATCAAAATTTGTTTTCTGGTCACTAAAACAATTAAACTGATGTTCCACCCTGGAATTCAATGCCACATTCAAAGTCAGAGTCGTGCAAATCTTGGGTTGGACCTCCATGATGATCCAAAGCATCACATGCATTCCATGCGGTAGCTATTGGTGCGTTTGGGCGTCACATGTAACTGGAAATGTTTCTTCTGTTAGGTTCTATAGTAACTTTTTTCGTAGTCATTTGCATATTTTAGTATTATGCCCCCAAAATCAAATATCCCCTACTTTTTTTGAATAGTATATTTTAGCATTGCTCAGATAGCTGTCCGAGAAAAATTGTCACAGCATGCTCATCTTCGGTAATCAAGTCGAGTGAAGTTCAACAGTAAAGTTTTAAAATTTTGCTTTTAATCTGATCCCTATGATATTTTCCATTGTAGTTTTTTGAAAGCAGGCTGAATCGCCCAATACATAATCTCCCAATATTACCACACTATTACTGTCCTACAAAATATGGAACTACAATTATTTCAGCAATAATGTTAATTTGACGAAAGTGATTTATTTGACTCCCTTTATTACTGATAAACAATTAATATACTTTCTGGGTTACTCGGATCCTGACTGGCTGTCATTGAAATGACAGAAACCGATACAAATTTCCAGGAAATATTTTTTTTTTCATAAATAATATGCAGTAGTATTACTATTGAGTGATATTTGGAAGTATACATAGTGAACATAATGGATAAATCGACTTGCAGCTTTTTGATTATTGATTACTTTCTTTTTTTTCAGTCGTGTATGTAGCAACACTCATGGTTTAATAAGAAAATATGGTTTAAATATTTGCAGAAGATGCTTTAGACATTATGCTAGGGAGATTGGATTTAAAAAGGTGAATAGTGGTTATTACTAGAACAAGATCCATTTGTTTAAAAATGTCAAACTTTACAGGTGTATTGAAATTGTAATATGCACTTTCAGCTTTTGTATAGCTTGTGTGGAAAATGACAAGCCCTCTGAAAATCTGTATTCCTAAAGTGGTGGACACACTAGCCAAATTCGGACGAATCAATCCGCATCAAAATTCGGCTGAATTTATTCACCTGATTGTAGAATCCAATTGTAAATCCCAACTCATATCGAGAAGTCATGTGAATGTTTGAAGACCTGTTTGCTGCCATGCTTAATCATTTGACGTGAAAGGTGATACAATCGACTGGCGAATCGGGCGAAGGATTCGCCTGGTGTGTCCACTCATTCAGGCTAGTTTTAATAAGCTTACAGTTTCTGATTTTTGCACTACATTCTAATCTAACCAATTTTCTATCACCAGCAAGTCGCCTATTTTGATCAGTCTGAATTATACATACATAATTATGCTAGCACTAATCCCATCAGAATCACTCTTTAGTAACACTTGGAATGTCTGGGATTTTAAAATTCCGGATTCCTGTAATTTAGAACAAAATGTAGCCTTGTTTATCATTGCCCCATTGCAAAAAAAAAGTTTAATGATTTTGATATTACTGGCTTCAAAAATTAATGTCCGTGCAGTCGTGCATACAATTTCATTGTGGTGAAAAAAGTTAAAACTAATCACAAATAAAATTTTATTTTGCAGTACAACTAATTTTGGAGTGGGATATGGAGAAAAGTTTATTGGAAGTATTGGAGCTCGAATTGGGTTGAATAACTCATGATGTTGTACATACAATAAAAAATCCATTCTCGTATTTTAGAGTTTGATTTATCTTTTATCAGTATTTGATTGCAGACATTGATTTGTAGGCAATATTTATTTGCCCATATTTTATGCGGTCTCGCATTTGGAGCATTTTTGTAGGATAAACCTGCTTCTGTTAAGTATTTGATTGCTTTGTAATAAGATGTATTTGGAAAAAGATGTATTTGCAAGTTGACCTGTTGGAATTTATGTGGATTGTCTATCTCGTGAATCAAAGTCTATATATACTCTTCAAAAAAAGTAGGGGATATTCAGAAACTATATAAAACTGCCGAAATGCACTGCTGTTTTTATTAGAGGTAACCAGTGTATGTTAACAACGGGCCAATTGCCTACACATTAACAGTTCATATGGGCGGCTTATCTGACGGCCCCATTTCACTCGCAAAGAGATCCACCGTCAAAAGTGAAAATGGACGTTTTTGATTTTTGTCTTAATAATAAATAATTATTCCACCAATCCTCGCAAATTTCAGCAATTCGTCGTGGCATGCTCATAATCAACCGTCCAATCACAATTTAGGGCAATCTGACCCACTCCTCTTGCAGTGCCACAGTCAATTCTTGCAGTGTTGTCGGTTGACGTAGACGAACACATCTCCCGATAAATTAAACGTAACACACTAAAGCAAAGATACACTAAACAGTAAATCGTATGCAAGAACAGATAGGAAAGCAAACATAGATAAACCAGCACGCGACAGTTTTCATCAACTCTTCCTTGAAGTGTCAAATTTGACAATGAATCCCTCCCACGTGTATCGCATGTGCAGCTCAGTGGTTCTGTTGGGGCATTAAGTTCTTCATCTGTGAACATACTCTCAAAGCATGTCAAATGTCCATGTCTATTTATCATATCGCAACCTGCATATGTATTTGCATTTCAATATCCCCTACTTTTTTTGAAGAGTATATTTCCAAGTTAATCAAGTTACATTGCACCGTTAGCCTTTTTTAAAGGGTTTAATTATAAAGGTTTCTTCGGTTAAATGATTTTAGTGAACAAGGTTTTGATATTGTCTAATCCTATTTGTAAGCTACATGTCAAAAATGAGTACATATCCGAAAATGACGTACAACTGCGGTCATTTGCTGTTCAACTGCTGGTTTCAACGGTAGTCCCAACTACAATAAACATCTGAAGGTCATTTTAGCTGTGCTGGGTAACAATGTGTCATTGCCTGGCAAATTATGGTTACTGCAGAACTATCCTCTCACAGTCTCACACAACAACTTTTGGTTTTGGAAGGAATCATTAGTGAGCAGAAATTCGCCCATGTATCTGTGATTACTCGTCACTTCAGTCAGTTATATAGAGGGATGACTCGTGTTTTCCTTTGGCGTTCGTCACTTTCGATTCAGGAAACCTGTATTACTCGGCTATCGTAGCAATGATCTCTGTGTTAAAATTATATTTGGAACGGGTTTAATTAGTTCTATCACATTTGTGATAATGACTGACACCAATATTGTCCTTTAACCAATATCAATCTGACCACATTCTCATGTAAAAGTAGCTAGATCTAATGTTTACAGAATCCCTGTTGAGAACTGTCAATTATACAAAAAACAACCAAAATATTGGTTCACACTCTTGAAGGAATAACGGCTTTCAATTGCATTCAGTATGATATTCTGATCATGCAAGTTATGATTCATCCTTTGTATTCCCAGTGGTATCTTCCACTCCACTAACACCTGGGTACATTCACAGTGAGACTGTCAAATTATCTACCTTGATAACTGCTATTTTTATCCATCAAAAACAAACCATGAATATAAAGCTAGCTGACAAAGGGAGGTTAGTCACATTTTGTTGAAACTAAGATCGCGAATCATTGTAAACTTTGTCAAAATACTTTAGGACATGTCACTTTAATATTAAATTTCTTGCAAAGTTTCTCATAATCGAACATAAACAATGACTGGTCTATAATCTGTTTTTGGATTGGTTCGTAGAAACCCATGAAATCATCAAGGGCAGATAATTTGTGAATAGATCCCCGGGTAAGTGGAGTAGAATGGAACGATACCACTTGGGATAACCGAGGATGGTTGTAATTATAAATCCAAAAATATATTAATAAACACAAATCCCAAAATACATTAATAAAAACAAAACGCAATTACCGACAGTAATATGTGTTCACGCTAGATGACTTTATGCAGTGTTATCACTTTAACATAGATTTATGTACATGATTTATAAATTTGAAATAGTTTTGAGTCTTGTTATGAAATGTTCAGTGCTGGATTATCCTAGTAGCAAATGCTGTGGACCCTGTGTCACAAATTTTAGCCAATTATCACTTTAATTGGGGTTATTATTTTAACAGAGTAATTAATGGTAGTAAGGTATCTATATATTTTGTTTCCTAATTTATTTCTCCTTTATAAAATGTCACAGGCCACACACTAGATGAATCAGGCCCTGAAAATAGTACTTGGTTCTTGTAAATTTAACTTTTAATGAAAGAAACTACATACCGGTATCAGTAATTAGGTTGATTTATGGATTGCTTATATACTCAATGAAACTTTAATATACAATGTAAAGTCTTAAATACAAGAAATATGAGAAGTAAAGTGAGCATTGCAGAAATTCTATTCTACAGTTTCAATAGCTTCTGCCAAATAGTGTATAAAACTTGGCAGTATTTTTACATGCTGGATGAACACATTTAGTGTTGGGTTTTAGTTCTGCTAGTGGTTTAAAAGGTATACAAAGACTCTTAGCCCCCATAGATGGTGCACCTTCTTCTACTTGAACTTCTCTGAAAGTTAAAATAAGTTTAAAATTGAGCTATAGTAATATAGGTAAATTAAAAGATTAAAATTGAAATAGGTCAGACACTTAACCAATTACAATTGCTTCAAATCAATTAAAGGGGCATTATGGGAGATTAGATAAGAGTTAAAAACTAGATAATGTAATGGGAATTTGCTTAAAATTTCAGTCAAATTGATCCACTCTGAACCGAGAATTTTGCGATTGATTGAATTTTAGGCCTAGCCTCGATGATCATTACTAAAGTCGGTACAATAAAAAACATGGTCTCGTTTCTCCATTTTTTTTATTTAATCATGAATGAGCATTGAGCAGCAGATTGGATTCAAATCCAGTAAATATCTAAAGCTAGCGATGACATTGAGAGTTGATTATGGTTAATAAATGTTTAATTAATAATTTAGATAACATTTCAAGCCTAAAGAAAGACCTGAAATGGGCAGATATAACTCTTGCATAATGTATGTTTAAGTATTGTAGCCAATCCAATCTTAGAAGTAAAAAACACATAGATGACTTTCAAGACTGATCTATGATCTATACGAGTCCTTTAATCCTTACAAAGCAAATTGTAATGGGGCAAAATTAAATTCCAGAAAAAATTCAACTGTATGTGATCATAATGTGACCAAGATCTAAACTATATCAGTACTTCAGCCAAACAAATTTTAAATATTTCCAATTGCTCCACATACCTAGCACTGTCTTTCTTAATTTTATCTTCACAATCACTGTTGCCACAGAATGGAGCTTGGATGATCCTCTTTTTGTCTAAAGCATTACAAAATTCTTCCCACTCTTGAATAACAACCATATATGTTTCCATATCTGTTTTACATCTACAAATAGAAATTAAAATGTATTTTTATCATATAGATTTCTTTTTCAACAGCAACATTGTATTAAGTTTATATTGCTCTACCAATACTCTTCATTTTCGTCATAAGCACTGTATTAAAAAGAGAATGTGAATGGATTTTTACACCAAGGTTAAAAGATAGGTTGCTAGGCAACGAAACATACGCCCACAGCAGCTAAGTCGTTCGAGCAGTCAATAAGAGTTGTTGCATATTTTTTCTATTGTCGGTAATGAAACATTTATAATACACTAAAATCTGATTAAGAGTAACAACTCATTAAATCTGATTAAGAGTAACAACTCATTAAGTAATTATCCGAAAATCATTAGAAATTGTTTGGCTTTTAGTTTTGCACCATGCTAAATGTATACGAAACATTTAATATCATGGATTTAGCTGTTCAAGTTATCAAAATTCATTGAAAATCAATATACTTGTTCGTCTCAAGACATTAAACTATCAATCTAAAGCAGAGGTTGCAGTCACGCAAAAATCTGCTTTTTTCACACATTTTTTTCAAAATAAACGCAAATATTGATGGACGCTGTGTAATTTACACGCCGAAAATTACCCTGACGTAAGGATAATTAGATTATTCTATTTCGTAGTTTGTACACTACATCATCGATTTCCGTGCTTCATGTGGCATTTACACACCTCTACTGTACGTAGATTTATTATAATTCCTCTTATTTCGTTCATAATCTTTAAGTTCATGGCAGTAAGCCTTCTATTCTATATGTAGCAAATCTGAGACCCCCTATTTTACCGCACTGGAAGCAATAAAGCGCATTTCATACAAGACTTTGGATTGGCTAGAACACGATAAACTGTTTACAATCAGCCAATCAAATATTGGCTTTCATAGTGATAGTTTGCATTTTACTTCCTGTCAGAGTGAAAGATTGAAATAACTGTGCCGTCAACCATAGATATGCTGTCAACCCTCAGTCGCCATAAGACTAAATACAGTATCAATGAAATAAGGACGCTTAAAATAGGGTTGTTCACGTAACGATTTTACTTGCTTCTATTGAGTATTTTGAGACTCTAAATCACGCAGATGTAGAGAGCAAAAATGCAAAATTTTTGAATGTCTGCATATTTTTACGCAACTCGATCCACTGCGGCGACCTCTGATCTAAAGTCAATCGAATGATAACTTTAGCCTCTAGAGCGTCCACAAGATATTTCAAAGGGATCAAGGACAATAACTCTAGCAGTAATTATCGGAAATTGTTGAAAATCAATAAGCTTCTTCATCTTATGACCTTAAATACTGTGTATAAATCTAAAGTCAATCAGATATACTTCAATGCACAAAATTTTTCAAAGGGATCAAGGGCCATGACTCTGGTAGTAATTATCAGAAATCATTGAAAATCACTGGGCTTTTTCGTCTCACAACCTTAAACACTGTGTATAAATTTAAAGTCAATCGGATATTAACTTTAGCCTCTAGAGTGATTATGATTATCGGAAATCACTGAAAATCAATAGGCTTCTTTGCCTCATGACCTTAAACACTGTGTATAAAATGTAAAGTCAATTGGACGTTAACTTCAGCCTCTAGAGAGTCCGGACAGATGGACGGGGGTGACGACAACATACGACCACATTTCAATGTGGGCGTATAAAAATGCTATAACATTTCAAAGCTTTGCTTATTACTTTGCCATACACTATTCCATGGAAAATCAGTAATTCAGCATAAATTAATAAGTATACAGATTTAATTATATCTTCCAAATATATAAGGTAAAAAAAACAAACTTACTTTTGATATAGACTGTCTTGTATATTTTCTAGTATATCTTTAATTTGTTGTGAAATGTTTTCTTGTTTTAAAGTAAGTTTTTCACCAGTATTACGCTTTACAGCTACAACTGTACTTTGTTTAATATCTCTAGGTCCAAGTTCTAGTCGAATTGGTACACCCTTTAAAACAAATATACAAACATTACACAAAAACAGTATTACATATATCAAGCTTAAAAAGAGTATGAAAATGGATATGAATGTTAGAATCAAGTCTGTCTTACCATAATAAATCTGTAATCTGTGTAGGAGCAAAAGCACAGATCTTAATAAAATAGCATTCATTACAGATATTAATAAGGGATTTTTTATTGCTATTTACCTTTAATTCCCAATGGTTGAATTTCCATCCTGGTGAATAATTGTCTCTTAAATCAGATTTGGCTCTTATACCATTGGCTTTTAATAATTTAGATAATTCATCACATTTATCCAATAAATTATTTAAGTCAGCTTCTGGTAAATTAGCTGTGATACCACATGGTACCACAATAGCCTTGAAAATAAAACAAATAAAACACTAAATAAATACTGTCACTTAACTTGTAAACATTTAACCTAGGAATCGTGAAAAATAAAGATGTGGTGAAAATATTACATACACATTATATTGAAATTCCACTTTCATAACAGATCCCCGCAAACAATCCCCTGTGTTGCGAGGGGATTTTATTTTGGAATTAATTTAGAAGGATTGTTTCCTTTTCGCCCCAACGGTATCACTGAGATCCACGATGACCAGGGATACTTCCACCCACTCCCACTACAACTTTATTCGTCACAGTCTTGGAATTATTTCAGAACAGATATTAAATCAAATCATAGGATTCCAAAAGGCACAATTTTTTTGTATTTCTTAAATCAGGGGTATGAAAGTTGCAGCACCCCTAAAACAAATTATAGAGTGAAATATAAATACCTGTATCTGAGCAACTCGTGGAGGTAGAACCAAACCTTTATCATCTCCGTGTGTCATAACCATAACACCTATAGTTCTTGTTGTTAAACCCCAAGAATTCTGGTATGCAAACATTTTGGTTTTAGTTTCAGGATCTTCAAACTGGATTTCAAACATTTTGGAAAAATTCTGTCCTAAATGATGTGATGTAGCACCCTATGAAATAAAACATCTTGGGATAAATAGAAACTAAACTGGCACTGGCAGTCAGGCAAAATTTTATCAACAACATAAAAGTCTGTTTTGGACTGGTCTAAAAATTGGATAAAGAAAAATTCTATCATTATTGAAACCACAAACTGTTCAAGTCACAGGGTAATGGAATGTGGATTAATGTCTCGTCATTTTGAGACAAATTATGGTGGTTTTATTTCAGTGGTTATGTGCGCAATGCAAGGTAGGATAACTCTGCCCAGACAGCAACATTTCCACCCACTCTTCTTCGGTTTCAACTGTCAAGGGGTCCTTAACATACACACCAATGTATAAATTGGTGGACCTAGGTGTTCTGTTCCATCTGAACAATTAGGCACACTTCTCATGTCAACCTCACAGGCACCAACTCTAACATGTGAAGGTCGGGCTTATAAAACCCTAACTTTTCTTTTTGATGCATGCTGGACTACAACATGACCTTCCAAGGGTACTAATCAATTGTAAATGAAATTTACCTGTATAGCTCGCCCACTGGCAGCTATATAAGCTTCAACAGTTGTAGTAAAATCTCCTCCGGCAAATTTCTCCTTTTCTGTTTTTCTACCTCGGACAACAGGTATAGCCAATAAATACTCGTAGACTTGGGCATAAAGTTCTAAGATTTCATAAACCTATAAAAGAAAATAACATTATATATGTCCGACATACACCATTGACACTACTTAATTTTGGTTGATGAAAACAAATTCTTTTATAAATCTTAAATGAAGCAGAAGCCTATGCCAATAATTATGCTTCTCATATACTAGTCGTTCACAACTTACATCACTCTGTTCTGAAAAAAACTTCAACAAAAACTTTAATGGCACAGATGGTAAAAATAGAGTGTAAATTCTGCCCACTATTCCTATTAGTGATGTCTTACCTCTTCTGTTGCTTCTTTTTCAGTAGCAAAAGCTGTATGTCCTTCTTGCCATAAAAACTCTCGTGTTCGTAAAAATGGTTGTGGATGTTTAAATTCCCATCTCTAGAAAACAAATAACCAAACAATGGTATTCACAAGACAGTAGCTAACTCTCTCAATTTAATGGCAAGGTACAATACATAATATATTACATCCTACAAAATTTCACTGCCTAACTTTGTGTGTGTTTTCTCCATTTCCTCCCGCTACTAAGTTTTCTCTAAAATAACCAATCGTGTCCGTATAGATTTGTTTTTGTGTAAATTATGTGTGTGCAGTCCCCCCAGGCCCTGCACTTACTATTTGATCTGATTTATTTGTCCATGAAATACTTACAACTACATTACACCATTGGTTAAGTTTTAAAGGTAGATCACGGTGAGATTTCACCCATTTAGCATATGATGGATACATGACTGTTTCACTCGTTGGTCTAATGGCTACCGGTTCAGTTAAATCCGATGATCCACATTTAGTTACCCATGCAACCTACAAATAAAACATATTATAAGTATACAAAAATATAGCCAGACAACCTAGCCATTAGTCAAAACCAAAATATATAAAATAAAATCAAGCAATATTAAGTGGAAGTTTTGAATTGAGAAAATAAATCTCATTTGAAAAGTGGTACTATGAGTTTAAAATAAAAGGAAAGCATACCCTGTTGCATGCACAACATACGTCTGCTACATTTCAATTTAAACAAGTCACATAAAAATGGAAAGGATTAAATAAATATTTCTGTGATGGGGGGGACAAATTCACTGTGGTTAATTTGCTTGTGGCGGAATTCTATATTCTCTGAAGAGGTCGTAGAGATTTGGTTCATTTCTTAACTTGGTTTAACCAGTGAGAATTCATGAACATTTTCTACAATTTGGGTACTCTGGTTATACTATGGTTAAACCTAGATAATCTTATACATTTTACCCTCAAACCTCATGAAGATAGACCGCGGCCACAAAATTCCACATTAATTGATACTATCTATATTAATAAACTCAATTTCTGTCATATCATTAAGACTTGTGATTTGAATAGATCTCGTTCTCTTTAAATAAATATTTCTGTGATGATGGCAACCTTTCAATGATATTGCGGTGAATTATGAATTTTACTGATTACACCAATGCGAATATATATTTTATATAGCATAAGCTTACATTATTTTATCTGATGCATAAATTTTTTGAAGAAATTTTATTTAAATTTTTATGAAGAAATTGTATTTAAACTTTTATGAAGAAATTGTATTTAAACTAAGTCAAAAGTTGTACTTACCTCTGGAGAAAAATCAGCTATATGTTCTTTTTCTTTTTCTAAAGCTGCTTGAGAAACAAACATTGGGAAATAACAATTCTCAACACCCATCTTCTTGATTTCAGCATCGAAAAATGCTTTAATATTTTCCCATATAGCATACGCCCATGGCCTTAATATATAACAACCACTAACATCATAGTATTCTATTAACTCAGCTTTAGTTATAATCTGAAATATAGAAACAGTTACTATAATTACTGACAATTCTGTACTGTTTGATTGAAAAATCTGTTAATACTATAGATGGCATGTAATCACTTACCTGTGAATACCAATCAGATAAATCTTCAGATTTCTTAGCCTCTAATCCAAGTCTAGAAAAAATAAATAAATTCATTTAAATAAAAACTTTTTCACTCATAGCAACATAAACTAAACAGAAGCCATTATGGAATAGTAGGACTTGCCAAACATGGACAGTGGACACTGACAGGAGTTAAGCTGCCTTGATTTAGGCTATAACTAAGTGCTGAATTTGGTTGATGTGTTATTTTTGATTAGAAAGATCTACTGGTTTCACACTAAGTTAATATGTCTTGATTAATGGTTATTTGGTTTCTAATTTTTAAACCAATTTTATGGAAATCTGTTTAACGGTTCCATTCGTACGGGATGTGACGTCAGTTAAAGATTAAAGGACACCAATGAAATTTTTCATATTTGCATTGCAGGTCTAGTTTTATTTTCGTTTTTGACTTAAAATGATGACTACTGATCGACCACACATTTGGTTATAATCTCAATACTGGAATGAAGACAGATTGGCATCTCTCAAAATGAATCGACAATTATATTTTGATCGACTGAATGATAATACCTGGTTATTTTCTTAACTTCTCTACCATCATCAGCACCTTTAGTTTCTTTTTCTGCACTTTTCTGATCTTTTTTCTTGACTTCTTTTTCTTTTTTTCCAGGTTTTTCCTCCTTTACTTTTTCTTTCTTTCCCTTTTTATTCCCGCCACCTCCTATATCTTCTCCAGTTAAGTTTTTATAATCAGCTTTTAGAGCTAATAAGATTTTTACTTCAGCATCAATAGATTCCTGTTGATATACAGATGGTTGTAATGAGAATCAATAAAGAATTGTACTATTAAATCTTATGGGGCAATTCCAATGATTATGATCTTGATAAATACAGTTTGTACCAGGCCTAAGAAGTACTACAAGGAATTTGCCACTTTATTACAATAAGACATAAATTTACAGTTTCAAACCCAATTTTTTTCTAGAGTTGTAGTTATTATATGCAATGTGATGAGAACTAATTTACCTTGCTTCCTCCAGAAGTTTTTAAATTCCTGACTTTTTCACCTTGAGCATCTATTTTAGATTTCAAGGCTTCTGCTGTAGCTGATGGTGTTGAATTATTGGCACAAGCTTGTTCAACTTTAGGAGCTGACTCTGTCTTTGGTGCTTGATTGCTTTCTTGGTTAGGTTTCCAATCCTGGCCTGTAGCTTTTTTATAAGATTCTTTTAATTCTAATAAAACTTTAACTGCATCAGTTATAGCACTCTACAAAACAGACAAAACATAAATAAAATAACAGGTCTAAATACCATCTGTCTGTATTAAAATAACTAGTGATGATCCGATAATCGGTTTTAACATCGGTTTCGATCGATACTGAGCCATTTGCCCATACTGGAGTCGTCAATATCTGAAATGAAATGGGTTTTAATGTCCTACTTTCTGCTCCTATACTGGGCTAATGAAGACGGGGACACGCCATACAGTGTGCTATGAGGGAAATTTCGCACGGGCAGGGCATTTTTGCCTACTCTTATATCGAATTCCAACTGCCAGGGGATCTTTTATGTGCATTCCAATATATACATGGGACCTCGTTTTTTTATATCATCCAAAGGACTAGACAGCTGTCCTTGTCAGGCCCTCCGTCCTGCATCACTGACAAGGGGGAAACACGCCGGAAAATCAGGATGAACTTTCTCGGCCAATGCAGGGATCGAATACCCGACCTCCAGGCTAGCGAGCCAGCGTCTTACCCACTTAGCCACATGATCCCCGCCAATATCTGTTTAGAAGGACTCCGTAAATAAATCTAAAATATCATTCATATTGTGAACAATTAAATCAGTAATTTGCTTGACACTTGGCGCGATTATCTTAGGTTGCCTTGCGCGTGACTATTTAGATCTAGATGGCGAACTGTTGCACCATTTCCTCTGACGTGTTTCATATTTTCCAGTGACTAAATTACCTTAGGACTTTTAGCAGATTTCAGTTCCCTGACTTTATTGCCTTGTTCAACTATTTGTTGATTTAAATCCATATTTTTATTGTCTGTCGCTACTTGCTTTGCTGGCTCTGAGGCAATGACAAGATCTGGCTTCCAATCTTTGCCAAAAACACCTTTAAATTCTGCTTTCAATCTCAGTAACTCTTTTACTGCTTCATCTATCTTCGCCTATAAAAATTAGTACAAAATATAAAACATGATGGATGTGGACAACAGAGTATATTTTTAGATGCGTTAAAATAACTAGTAACTACTTCTTGTCAACTAATTCAGGCCTCAGAATGTGTCTCACAAGTTTAAATCAATTTTGTATGGTGGGCTTCACAACTTCGGGATTCAAGTTTTTATTTCATCTGTGGATTCTGATTGCAATATCTTTATTAATGTTGTACTTTTTATGGGAAAAAGATGGATTATCATCTAATTACCTTATCTGCTTTCTTAGCTTTAAGATCTCGAACTTTATCTCCCTGATTTTTAATGTCTGTATTGAGTGAAGAGATATCAACGGTTGATGGTGGGGTAGATGCAGGAGTTGATTGTGTTGTTGGTACTGCCACACCTGGTTTCCAATCTTTACCAGTCAATGTCTTAAACTCAGTTTTTAATGACAAGAGAACTTGAACGGCGGCATCTATATCAGCCTGTAATAATTTACAAAAATGTTAATATATATATCTTAAGACAAGTATTACAATAATATAAATTACAAAGACAAGTGTTACAATAATATAAAATATATATTTTTAAGATCTCTGATCGTTATTTGGAGGATTTTAAATCCCTTGCACACTTAAATACTATAAAAGTTGAATTTCAGCTGCCCCATTTCCTCTGATGTGTTTCTTTTTTTTTTCCAGTGACTAAATTACCTTAGGACTTTTAGCAGATTTCAGTTCTCTGACTTTATTGCCTTGTTCAACTATTTGTTGATTTAAATCTGTACATTTATTGTCTGCTGCTACTGGCTTTGTTGGTTCTGGGGCAATGACAAGATCTGGCTTCCAATCTTTGCCAAAAATACCTTTAAATTCTGCTTTCAATCTCAGTAACTCTTTTACTGCTTCATCTATCTTCGCCTATAAAAATTAGTACGAAATATAAAAAATGACGGATGTGGACAACAGACCATTTTTTCATTGTATATTTTTTTTGCCTTTATGTTTTAACGGTATACAAATAGAAATGTATATTTAATAGGCTGTCCGAGTTCTATTTAGCTAGATGTACAGTTATCCTGCACTCTCTGTTGAGTAAAAAGAAGGCTACTTATGAAACTTAGTCTACTCTACTATTGTGCCATATTGCGACCATAGACAAGGGCATGTCAGGCCCCCTATATGCCTAGCAGCAGTTAAACATACATTATGCAAGATCTAAATCTGCCTATTGCCGGTCTTTTTTTAGGCCTGAAATGTTATCTAAATTGTTAATTAGACATTAATTAACTTATCCAGACCATAATCAACTCTTGATGTCATCGCTAGACTGCGATATTTATTGGATTAGGATCCGATTTGCTGCTCAACTTTCATTCATGATTAAATCATGAAATGGATATTCGAGACTGTTTTTTATTGTACCGACTTTAGTAATGATGATCGAGGATAGGCCTAAAATTAAATTGCTAAATACTCGGTTCAGAGTGGATCAATTTAACTGAAATTTTCAGCAAATTCCCTTTACATTTACAGTGAGAACTGCCAGCTCTTTATCTTATCTTCCATAATGTATCTTTAATTCGTCCATATTCAATCTAAAATCGATGTCAACATACCACATAGAACAAGTTTAAAAAAAATCTATTATGAATGCTGACTTGGAAAAATAACTCTGTGAAACAAATATTATTTTGACTTAAACCCTCATGAACAATAACACAAAGCTATAAAATTCTTATACTGCAACACACTCACAAGATATCATAAGTCTAAATGTGAATATTTGCATTTGAAAAATAGGGTTGTTCCTTACAACAATATAAACAGTCCTTGCAAATTGAAAATAAAATTGGAACCGTAGTATGTAGAAAAAGTTTTTGAAGATCTGTGTTGTTTAATATATTTGGAACAAAATTTTTTATCACATGTATCTAATCACAATTGCTTTGAGCTACTACAAGTCATAAACAACATGTAACGATGTTGAAAACAATATAAAGAAATACACAAACCTTCTCAGCTTTGTCGGATTTTAATTTTCGTACAAGATCTCCTTGAGATCTAATTTTCTTGTCGACATCAATTGCTGATGATGATTCAGATTTTATTGGGGGAGGACTGTCATCTTGTGGTGATTTCTCGCTAGCTTTACCTTTCTTACTGCTGACTTTCTAAAATTAAATAAACATTAAGTTGTGAGGCTGATGTCCCCCGCAGAAATCCCAAAATAAATAGATGACACATATTAATTAATTGCACATTAATCTTTTTCAAAAGTATTGGGCAATCAAACTGATTATCAACTATACTTAATCTAAGCATAAAATGTTCACGGTCAAACTCAGTCAAGGTTTTGAAGTACCTGGTAGTGAAACTATACACTAAGTTTCATCACTCTCCATCAGTTAGAATCATCAAAGTTATCTTGTTCTAAAGTATCAACCAAGGAAATTGCTTAGCTCTGCTTAAATTAGCTTTAGTGGGAAATGTTAATCATTGAATTCAGTCAAGACATTCACCTAATGAGCATCAACATCAAGTTTAAACATTCTACCTCAATTAAAAGCAGAGTTATGTTCCAAAGTCTTGACTAATCAAATTGCTTATCGCTACTAAGCCTAAGCAGAAATTCCTCATTATCGAACTTATTGATATAAGGTATTGATATAATGAATCTATATTTGGAGTTTCATCGCTCTCACGCAATTAGAACAAAAGTAATCGTGTCCCAAAGCTTCAACCAATTATATTGCATTTATCTGCTCACCCTTCGCTGAAAATGCTCATCTTCGAACTCCATCAAGGCATTCATCTAATGAATGCCTACACCAAGTTTGAACATTCTACCTCAATTGGAAGGAAAGTTTGTGTTACAAAGTCTCGATCAATCAAATTGATTATCACGCTGTAAACCCTGAGCAGAAAATGCTCATTATCGGACTTAGTCATGGTATGGATGTAATGAAACAATACAGCAAGTTTCATCACTCTCACTTTATTAGAACTAAAGTTATCGTGTCCCGAAGCATCAACCAATCAAATAGCTTATCTCTGCTTACCTTAAGCAGAAAATGCTCATCTTCGAAGTCCTTCAAGGCATTCACCTAATAAACACCTACATCAAGTTTGAACATTGTAGCTCAATTACAAGGAAAGTTAATGTGTCCCAAAAAGTGTGACGGACAGACAGAAAGACGGACAAACCCATTTTAATAGTCCCCTGCTTTCTTCGAAAGGCGGGGGATAATAAATACTTTCTAACTCTATTGTCAGTTTAAAAACATCACTTTCTTTTGATAAGAAAGTGTTGACACTCAGTCCTGCCAACAGATACTATACACCACTTGTGAACAGTCTCTCAAAGTGTTACAAAATACATTAGAGAGCTGTCAAGTTTTATATGGACACAGGTATAAAATGTGATCTGTGGTCAAAACACTTTTATTCTGGCAGGTGAGAGTGTCTCTCAATTTATATGACCAAGGAATTTAGACGAATCTGTCAGTGTCAACACTAAATAAGACAGTATAAAAATTGTATTAAGTTTAGGCAACTGTTATATATCCTACCAGTATTTATTATGAATTAGTAACTTTTTTCACTCATGTTACTACTGCACTTCGACATTATACTAACATCCAAAGGAAATTTCACCAAGAAAAATCATTTTAAACCTTTACAATTTAGATAACGAAAATGAACTGGATTTGAACTATTTTGTCTAATTCGAAATACTGCCAATATCTGACAAATTTAAACATGTTTCCATTTAACTTTCATATATATATATATCCTTTCTACATACAACATGTTTTGATTTTCTCAGTCTTATAGGGTGATATTGCAGACAAACTTATTTCATGCATTTACATCAGTTTAATCACTCTAAAAAATTATTTCATATATTTACATCAGTTTCATTGGTATAAAATCACTCAACCATGGAAGCCTATATAGATAACTACTGGTATAGTACATGTGACCTATTTTACCTAATTACAATACTTTATGGAATAATTGTAAAACAATTGATCTCTATTGAAATCAATTACATCATCTAACAAATACTGACAAAGCTAAATTTGTTTAACAACTAATTAATTTCTGGATGTGTCCCACCTTATTGCATCATCTCTTGTTTATGTCAATAAGAAGTAAACAATCAATCCACTCAAGTCAACTGGTATGTCTTATGTATGTTCTCATACTAAAATTATCTGTATTATTATATGAAATCATATTTAGCAATACCCCACACTTTAGAAGTTTTACAGCTGTTGTGTTCACTCTAACAACAGCCAACGTGGGCAATATAATAGTGTGCCAGATGTACAAGACTTATATGTGACATGATCATCCAGTCTTATTTAGAGATAGTCTTGTTCAACCAGACTCACACTATACTATTGAAGTCTGGGGATGAAGACTTTTTCCTGCACAGCAATCACAAGTGGGAGAAATTATGTTCTAAACTTCTTTTTTTATAACAAGAAATACTAGCATAGACTGGATATATTTATATTTAAATAACTAATGAATAATTTTAGATTTAGTGCTTTTTCTCTCAGACATATTGTTCATTGTAATTTAGACCAGTTCATGGATGAAACAAATAAAGTTTACTGGATACATTTGAATAAATCTATGTACAACTAAATAATCAAAAGGTCACTGTGATCCTATAGTTAGGTTAAATTCTATCTGGTGCATCACATCTAATATATTGAGTTATCAATGGAAAGCAACATTTGATGCTGCTAACTGAAGCATTATGGTAACCATTACATCTTTGAATTCTTATAAATCAATGCCAATGATATACATACCTCTTTAGCACTAAGTTCTGAAGGTTTGTGTTTTGAACCAGCAGTTGGCATTTCTTTCTGATGACCATCAGGTATATTCAATAATACACAAGGGTTAGCTTTTCCTGTATTTGGACTGTGAAAATAAAGCAAACAACAATTTACGTATATATACGTATAATCATCCCTTGGCATTCAAGCTTGGATTATACTTCGTGATAAAATTGCTTTCTTTTGTGTCCAAGAGAACATTATCGCTAAAATTGAGCTTATATAAAGTGAAAACCTTGAGTTTGCCTTTACCACAAATATCTAAATGTTCGCTAACAGGTAAGGCTTTCTTTCATACAAGTTTTGAGCGGTGTTGATTAATGCATAAATTCAATTAGTCAATGGTTTTACCCATATACTTGCCACCACAACCATTACAAATTAACAGGTAAATCACATATTTGGATTTACAATCCATATTTTGTTTCACTTAGAATTTCACATCTGTAGTAATTTGAACAAATGTTCCTTCTAAAATTTCGGAACAGGTCATACAACGTAGGTCCCCACACTTGGATACACAGGGTACCAAAATGTCAGAATTAAATTTTGAGGATGTTAATATTCTTTTAAGATTTGGAGGTTTAGTGTATAAGCTAAAAAAGATCACTTCGAGGACAGACCCCTTGGGGTAAACTGGAAACCAAAACCGAAGGGCTAGAAGTTAACATATAGAAAAAAAATACAATTTCCCGGAAAAATCTTGATTCCACTAATTTTCGAACCTCTGTATAAAACACTGGAATCACTTGTGTAGCTTTATAAATATTATTTTTGTTTTGTTCACATTCTATTTAACCAGGAAACAGGATTTATTTTCATGTGTAACTTTTTTCCATAAAAATTACAAAAAATGAAAAGATGCCAAAAAGTTACATTTTGTTCGAACTTTGATAGACGGTAGCACCCTCTAAATTTTTTTTTTTTTTTATTATTTTTTCATCAATTCCGACATAAATTGATGGTAGCCCCTTAACTTTTCAAAATTTTGCAAAATAAGGACCACCTTACACTGTTAGCAATGTAATAAGCCTGTGTTTGTAAACACAACTGATGAGCCCATTTTAAATTTGTTGAATCCAAGCCATATGTTTATCTAGCATTGATCTTTTAATTTAGTTTTCTTACTTACATCAATCTAAGTACATATTAGCATGGATTAAGCGGCTTTAAGCCGTGAAAAAATTTGATATTGTTTCAGGAAGTTATGGTCCAATATGTGCGAATATTGAAAGGAACTGAGATTTTTGGGTTATAAACATACATTTCATCAAAATCGGATAAAAATTGTTACCTCTAATAGTGACCACAAGCTAAAAACATGATTTTTCATACAATAAGGGGCAATAATCCATGAAGTTTTGGTCGGATACATGCCAGTATCGAAAAGAATCAAGATCTTTTTGAGATAATTTGTCACCTATAGAGTGTAAACAAACAAATTGTGGAAGTCAGGACGGACAGGGGCGACAACAATATATGTCCACATGAAAATGTGGGTGTATAAAAATGCAAAATTGATGATAAGCATCTGATTTAGAATAAAACAAAACCATAGTTTTCTGCAAATACCCCTCTCATTCTTTAAGGAAAGTGGCTGAATGCTTACCTAATTGGTTCATATGGTTGATCACATATAAAATAACCTCTTCTCTGTAACTGTATAATATCGCCTTTCTTTAATAAAGCTAAAAATGGATCACCCAACATCAGTTCTTCTTTCTATAAAACCAATATACAGTCATTACTAGGTTTATTAAAACAGAGAAAGAGATACCGGTACATAAATACAAGTTTACTAATCAGATCTATTTGATTTATTTTATAAACAATTAACTGAAATTGCTATAAAATAAGAAATTTGGAATTGAAAGGGGCTGATTTAGGTTAAAATAAAGTAATATATTAATTTGAATATAGATGCAAGATTAAATTTTAAATTTAAACACAGAATTGGTAATTTTGAATGAAGACAGATTGTCACAATTATCCAATGAAATCAACAATTCTATTTTTGATCAAGATCAAACAGGGAATGCAGTTTTAATGTGAAGATTGAACACGCCTATGATCACATTTACTACATGAATATGGTAGTAGATATGAACTCTGATCTTTGGCTACTCACAATAATTTCATCACAAAAATTGTACATTTATAAATTATAGAGTTACCTTGGAATCTCTGTTAATGTAGGTCTTAAAATCTTCATCTTTAGCTAAAACTGGTTTAGAAATGATGTGATCATACTGAACACAGACTGTTGGTATAAAGGCACCTTGTGGACATTCACATAACCAGGTTAACTTTTGTGTTTTTTTGAAATCCTGTCAAATAGAAATAGTATGTCATTCTTTCTTTATAATTCATTTCACAAAGAGCAGACACACACATGACTAGCCAACCCCGGAGAAAACTACATGACTTGCAATTAAATAAACTGAACAATCTGAAAATTTCTGCTAAGAAATCTTCTCGGTAGAATATTCTTAGGATTCCAGTGACCACAATAAGCTTAAATATTGGTGTATAAAACAATACAAAATATGCAAACTACATCCATTTGCATATTAAAGATCCATTATGTAAGAGCTAAATCTGCCTATTTGCAGTTCTTTATTTTGGCTTCAAATATTATATAAACTATCATTTAGACATTTATTAACATGACAAGCCCATAATCAACTCTCTTGACAATCGGATGGCAGAGATTTCAATGGATTAGAATGCCCACAAGATTAAATTAATTGAATGATAAAATGGATAACCAAGACTTAGTTAAAACGATAATAAACAATCAACGCTAATTCCAACACTCATCACTTCGCTCAGAATAAAGCAATTTGATTGCAATTCTCAATATATTAATTTCTCATCACCTATTTTTGAACTATTATAGCAAGAATGGTTAGCTCTTTATCAAAATCTTACATAATATATCTTTAAGTTCACAAAACAGTGTACATAGAAATTAATGCAGTACTCTGTTTAAAATGACCGTTTCCAACAAAGTGGTTTCTTGCAACTTTAAATATCAGTCAGAAAATGACAACATTAATATTACAACTTAAATTAGTCCGTATTTTAGAAATTTGTATTGAAATGAATTCAACTGAAGTTAAGTATCATCTATGGGAATAGTTGCTTGAATTAATCTATATTGCTTCAAAAACATATAAACTAAACCTACTGTATTATCTAGATTCAAATCAGCTTCAATTGATGTAACATTGCCTTTAGTATCCCTGAAAACAACACAAAAGGTATCAGAATCATTTAAAAAAATCAAGCATACTAGACATTGACATATGGTTCACAATTGTTTAGATAATAGTAGATAAACATCATCTTTATCAAAGACAATTTGAAGAATCAAATACCTTAGATCAGTTTTCTTCTCCCTTAATTGATAAAGAAATAGTTTCTTACTTTTTAATAGATTTAATGACCAAGTTTCCCCAGTTAATAAATGTCACTGTTTCTCCTTCCTTGATAACCTTAGCGTCTGCTCCATCAATATATATCTTTGGTCCATACCATACTGTTTTATTACCAACATCTTTATTCTAAATAAGTACCAGGCATACATTAAAAATAAACAAAGTCATTAACTATTGCTAAAACTAGTTCAAGAAGTATTACTAACAGTTTTGTTATTTTTGTTTTTGAGTTTATTTTCGAACTCTGTATATCTGTACTGAATAAATGAATTTAATTCAATTCACAGTAATTATTATGCTAATTAGCACAGGCCAAACTATTACTTCCATAACTCTACACTTCAGTTTACCATTTAAAACATTTGCCTAACAAGAAACTTTACCTTAGGGTGAGCAGCTACTTCTTTTGATTCAACTTTAGCTCCATTTACATGAATAGGAACAACATCATCTTTTGATAAAGCTGTATATCTTGGTACAACAGGATCTATTACCTACAAAATCAATAAGATGGTATTTGTATTATACAGCTTTAATACAAAAACAATGAAATATATCCTGGAAGAGACAGTTGTACTTTCGCTAGTAAACAAAATTTAATATATTTAGCACATTATAACCTTTGAGTTATGTACATTGTATTCTACATAGTGAGCTCAACCAAAGTATGTTTTTCTTTGAATGTCACCACAGATTTTACGATATTTTTTGTTCTATTAATTTCCCTGTATATTTCAACATGGCTAATGATGTAGTGAACCTTTTAGGTGGTGATTTATAACCTATTACATAAGATTACATATTATAAATCTGACCTTTTTATTGACAGACCAGATTTTGTCCCATTCCATCATATTGACAGATCTTGAAGAACCCTGAAAAGTATAATTAACTTAATTGATTAATAAATCTTATCATAGATCTTTAATCTCTTTTTATTGATTTTCCTACTCAAATCATGGGCTAAGTGAAAGGTATCCAAAGACTATAGAATGTTCCACACAGCCCACAATTTCGCGGCACAGTGGGAAGAGAACCCCCCGGGACCACTTAACGATATATATATTGGAGTTTTTGTGCCCCCACAAGATCCTGTTCCTCATGCAAACTCAGTGGTCACTCTGACCCTGATTCAAATATTCATTATTTGAATCTTACTCAAATATGCTATTCAATTCAAATGATAAATTTTTGGATGGCTTTTTTTTTAGAATCTAAAACTTATATATTTCTCCAATCAATAACTTTCTCTTTTATCTATTTCATTTTTGAATGTTAGTTGATTTTTTTTAGCTGATGAACACCAAATATTAGTTCAAATAGCCTTGAAAAACTGATCTCTATTATTCATAAAACACAATCAACAATATTCAGAAATATAAAGTCTACGTTCTTATTTACCTCACTGATATTAAATACATCACTCAATAATGCTTAGTGAATAAAATATACTAGATAAAAGGTAAGTGTTTAATGTACCTGTGAAATGATAAATTGCTTTAGACCATCTACAGTCATACCACGCCTTAATACACCTCTAACTGTAGGAAAACGAGGATCATCCCTAAAATATAACAATAAATGTCTATAAAACAATAGTTTATTATTGTTTGGCATTAGCTACAATATGTACAAATCAACCAGTCTAAAGGTGATAACAATACGTTTCCACATTTATCGTGGGCAAAAAAGCAATTTTTAGAACCAAATCACACATTTACAAATACAGACACTTGATTTATTAGTTATTTTATGTCTTACAATGTCAGTGTTTCTATCTTGTTCACCTGTTTTCTAGTTAAAATCATTAGGTGTGGTGCGGTCCTCCTGCATTTACAATGACAGATTTAGACATTCACAAAAGTAATGAATTTAAATCTTACCAGCCATCAACCAGACCTTCATTTACAAACCATGTCAGTTTACGTTTTGACATAACAGTGTTCTGTAGGTTCAGACGACTGTATTCATATATATGTGGTTTCCTTAATCCTGAAAGAAAGATAATTCTTTAACTGACAATCATTCTGTGACATATCAAAAATTATGTTACCATTAAATAAACCGCATTACAACAAATTTATTACAAGAATACATAAGACCTGTGATTAAAATTACAAATATACAAAATAGTACTAATTCTATTAATAGAGAGTTTTTTGTTTTATCTACAATACCGAGAATTAAATTTGATATTACCCAACACATCAATGAACCAGAAATATTGATCATCTCTATCATGATACTCTGTTGTTCTTAGAGCATGTGTTACACCTTCAACACTATCAACTATAGGACATGCAAAATCATACGTAGGATAAACCCTGAAAATAAACAATTTTATTTGAAATATCTAACATTATTTCTTTATTTTTTGAAATATTCAGTTGAAATAATCTTAGGAGTAACTGCAATATTTTAAACATACATTATACAAGAGCTAAATCTGCCTATTGCAGGTCTTTCTTTAGGCCTGAAATGTTATATATAAACTATTAATTAGACATTTATTAACAAAACAAGACCATAATCAACTCTCGATGGAATTGGATACTCCAGATTTTAACTAGATTAGAACGGTTTGCCATTTAAAATTTAATTTATAAAAATGGGAAAGCCAGGCTAAGTCTCGAATATACCAGAACCCTGGTTACCACTATGTAAACATCATGTCAAAATTACAAACAGTTATAATTTGGCTCAGAATGAAGTAATTTGAATGAAATTTTCAATATTTTCTTTTTCTATCATCTATTTTTGAATTATTACAGCTAGAATAACTAACTCTTTATTAGACTATTAACTAATATATCTTTAAGTTTCGTACAACTATCAATATTGGAATCAGGAGTTTGAACACAGTGTACATGCCTTGGAATTACACGTTAGAAAGTAGTCAACTATTTGTGTACGACAAAAGCTGTCAATGCCCGAAAAATATAGCATGTCAAAACATATAGCATTTGTAGATTTTGCATATCAAACCTCAATCTTGCAAGCGATTGTTCGATGTGCAGATTGGTTAATGAAAGTAACTTTACTAATTCTATGGGGTGTGCAAATGTAGCCCTGTTTATTCATGGAATATTCATTTTCCAAAAGGTCTGGCAGAAGCAGTATCAATTTGTCCTGTTGACAACTATTAGTTATACGAGAAATCAAAAAATTTTCATTTCATCTTGATCAATAATTCATTATAAATCTAGATCTGTGAACATACTTGTATTTATCTCCTGTTTTAATATGGGTTTCATTTTTACATCTATAAATAGTTGGATCTCTCATACATCCATTATCACTAGACATATTGATTTTAGCACGAACAGCACACTTCTGCCCAAACTCACTTCCTTTCTTCATTGCATTCCACATTTCCATATTTTTATCGACACCTAAAAAGAAATTTATGTGTGGACATAATAAGATAAAACAAAAGTACCACAAAATTTTATTAGCTATGAGAAATGGTATCAGGTTTTCTAAACAAAAAAGTAGACATGTGGTAATACACTGTCTCATATACATGTAGCTAAATGCAGTAATGGTTTGGAAAGAAAAAAAAACCACATGAATGAATCTGATTATCTAAAGATCTGCTCAAATTTTGATATCAAATTTTAATTTGAAGTGTAATTACTGTCTAAACAAAAAAACATTACTTACTATTGTTTCTATTTTTAGATTCTTTGCGATCTTCTCTTTCTTGTTTCATGACTTCTGGTTCTGTGTCATCAACATATGCATTGCCTTTACGTATCATAACTTCACAATAATCTTGTAATTTTTCGAAATGATCCGAGGTATGGGTGAAGATGTCATATTTTATACCCAACATGGCTATATCTTCCAAAATAACCTGAAATCCGTGAAATACGGTTGAATATACAATAACTCATTGATGATGATAATTCTTTTTCATCAGCTTGTACATGAGGTTTTCGAGCCTGTGAATACCTTCAGCTTTGGTCAGATCTTGTATATACAGAAGACCGTAAACAATGCTGTATTCATTACTGTTGGTGCATGCACAAATTGTGCATATTCTTTATTGTCCATAAAAAATAAAAAAATAGTTTGCTACATCTATAATTTTCCTGTTTCTCTGTTAAAGTGTTGCATGTTTTTACGTGTTAGCAACATCCGAAAATAAAATGATCAATGTAACTACCTCGTGTATCTTTTTTTAATATTACGACTTCCAACCTGAAAAGTGTATTGAACGCTACTTACATTTACACTATAAGCTTATATCAGGCCTTGAAATTTGAAGTCGCAAAATGAAATTAGCGAACACGAATTATCGCACCATTAAATTATTGAATTTTACTAATAGATCTTTTGGGCTTAAAATAGTGGGCGACATGTTCCCAAAACCATGCTGTGGTTGATTTTCGATGTCACCATCACATTGCTGTTCATTAATTCAGGTGCAAAGTTATCCTCAATACTTGGAATTAGCAATCGAACAAGCGATTTTTAGGTGAAGAAACACGTGCGAGGCTGGAAGGGAAACGTGAAATTTAGATCTGTTGTATTTGAGAATTTTGCCAAAACTATTTAAAGACATTGACAGTTATGTTTAAAATAATTATAAAGAATATGAAACTAAAAAATATTCAAATTACAGTGAAGAAATCTAATCCTAATCCTTTCGTCTCAATTAGAACCTCTATCTGAATCCAGAAAATAGTAGCCAATCATAATTAGCGATTACGATAATCTATCAAAGAAAGGCTTGTTTTTGTTCATTATTTCATGTAACTTGATAGTAAATAAAGAATATGCACACAAGCTGTCACAATGGGCATAATTTGTGATTAAAAGGCATATCAGAAGCCCAGTATTGTGTCAATGTTCGATAAGCTACTTACAACGTACAACTAGATTATTAGGCTCTGTTAGATGTCAACAGGTCGTAATGTAATTTGATATTTTCTTGTCTGTTGAAATGTAATTGGACATACACATGTATGATACCAAAAGAAAAAGAATTCTTTCAAATGCTTTTTATTTATGAATAGTTTGAGTCTGAGTTATCCTACTACAGTAATAATAATACATAAACAGTGTTTATCTGAGTTATCCTACTACAGTAATAATAATACATAAACAGTGTTTATCTGAGTTATCCTACTACAGTAATAATAATACATAAACGGTGTTTATCTGAGTTATCCTACTACAGTAATAATAATACATAAACAGTGTTTATTTATAATTTATGCATTTTTAAATTTAATGTAATAAGCATAGAAATTTGCAAGTGTTAAATAGCTGCCGCAAAATATTTGGCAAACACATTTTATCACTCCAGTGTGAATTTCTGATCTTAAGGCCTGTTATAATTGAACGTACCTTCTCATATTCAGCATTCTCTTTAGCAGGATTAGTATCATCAAAACGCATGATAAGCTTACCATTAAAACTTTGTTGATAGTATTGATTAAGTAGGGCAGCTTTAGCATGACCAACATGTAGATATCTGAAAAACATATTCTCTAGTAATTACAATATATCTGACAACTTAATAATAAAAGAATTTTATTTGTTGTTCTTATAAGCACTTAAGTGCTAAATGAAAAACTTCTGATAACTGAATATAAAATCAAAGCATAATCATAGAGATGTTTTCTGTATAATCAAGACTAAAACAAGTATCTCGGGTTCAACTAAAATCTGATACTGTAATGGTCATGCGGTAATTTGATTGCCTGTAACAATGACAATTGTGGGTGCTTCATCGCTCGTCAAACAGTCCTCATTCAAGTGGACATTATTTCAATATATGTCACCCTAAAGTCAGAAAAAAAAAATCAACCTACCCACTGGCTTCTGGTGGAAATCGAACAATAACTTTACCCATCTCTGCACCTGGTAGCTCAACAAATTTACCTTCATCCTTTTTAATCTATATATAATGAAGGCAACTAAATAACTGACAAAAGATTGTGAAAGGAAAGCTGGAAAAATATGTTTACACTGCAAATAACTTTTAAAGCTGCCTGTCATCATTGGCATTTTTAATGGTTTAATTCACACTAAATGTACTCAAAATCTATTATGAAATAAAATGGGGTTTAACAACTTATGGTTCTGCACCTACTGGGCTAATAAAGATGGGTGTACACCATGTATGTGCTATGAGGAAAATTTTGCCCAGACCACATTATGTCCTACTCTTATTTTGAATTCCAAATGTCAAGGGTTCTTTTACGTGTATGCCTACATAACTCATCTTTTTTTCCCAAGATGAGTTTATTACAGTAGTAGATGTTCTTTATTTCCTAATGACACGGACAGGAAAATTTTGCTTGTCGATTTTAAATGGACAAGAAATTCAAGAGGCAATTTTTTTTTTAATGAAAATAATTCTATTATCTTTAGATTACAAGTTATGTTATACTTTGGAGTATAAACTGTTTATATTTATATTGAAAACGTACGATAATGAATAACATTAACCTACTTGAAGATCGTGTGATGTCAGAATTTGTTTGATGGAAAATAACGACGATAATGGAAGGACATATAGTCGAACACTAAAAGAGGTCAATTATGATATGTGTATTTTTTTTATTGAATAGGGTAAACTCTGGTAACCCAATGTAAGTTCAGGGAAAAAACATAAGAATTCTGTATACTTGACGAAGAATTCTGAATACCTGACACATGCACAGATGTCACAAAATGTCTGATATAGAAAGCGATGTTTTTACATTTTGCAAGGAAGTAAAAAAAAAATCAATAAACTTTCCGTTTTTGGTCATCATTACGGTCCTAATTTTATTGTTATTCAATATCAATAAGTGAAAATATGTGTTACCTGCATTTTCTTTCATATGACATTTTTGTAACAAGTGCTACAAAATCAACACGCATTTCGCGTGTTTGCGTCCATCAATTTGGATCCCTGCTAATGACAAACAAATGTTCTTGCGAGTATGATTTAATTGGAAAACAAAGACAATATGAAAAGTCACTTACAGAACTATCCCCAGCCTTTTCTGTTTTTGTAGAATTTCCTGATGGTTTAAGTTCGGAGAGAACAGATCCAAACAATTCTTGATTTGATAAAAACTGATAATATCTCTTCACATTAAGACAACAATTCGCATCGTCTACCATCTTCTGCCACACAGAGCTCACTTAAAAAATATGAATTACAGTTATATTTTTAGTACATTTATTGAATAGTTATCCTTGTCACAATATGTTCATTCAAGTATATATCACACAAAAAATCTATTTTTAGCTGAAAGTGTATTTCTAATGACCAGGATAAATAGATTTATAGGTCGAAATAGTACAAAAAGCCCACAATAAATAAGTTAATTATTACAGACTGTCAACTGCTGTTGGTCCAGCTGTATATCAGTACTGTACGGATTATAGAATTGCATGAATCTTTGCATTGCTGAACCAAAGCAGATTCACGAACTTGAAAGAATTTTTAAGTTTTCTGATGTCAAAGAAATAAAAAGGTTGCATACTACATTATTCCTGTGGAGCAATGTACGTGATTTCCTAAATAATTTAAGTGTTTGTGTACATATATGGATAATGTGTGACGTGATTGGACTTTGATAATTGAGAGTGATAGGTTATTTACTAAAGCAACAAGTTTGAAAAAAAAATAGCGACATTTCATGACCTGGTACATGTACAGTAACTACTCTCATGCTGGCACAGACAGCTATTTATTGTCTTAAAATTAGAGTAGCATGTCATTCATAATGGTATCTGCATTAATATTTTTATTATTCAATATGTACTGTCTTCAATAATCTTGAAAGATTATATTTCTTATAAGTTTGGATATAATTTCAAATCAAAAGTTATATATTTCAATTCAAATATTTCAATTCTTATCAAGAATATCACTTTCAATTTTTCTAAAAATAATCATTTATCCAAGAAAATTATTTTCAAACAATTCAACGGATAGTGACCATACTTACTGTATAAGGTTTCCCACACACAAAAATCAGCCAATGTTAGACCATGGCCAACTAGATAGGTTACTGGGGCCAAAGCTCTATCCAGATATTCAATGGCATCTTTGAAATCTGATGTACAAGCTAGACGTCTTCTAGAAAATGTCATCCAATGGTCCACCTAAAAAAAATATTTTGTTAAAAAGTGTTTAAATATATACTTTTAGCAGTAGGACAAAAATAACAGTGCAGATAGGTTGTCACTTCAGGCATCAAAACATACAACCACAACAGCTAAATCATCCGAGCGGTCAACAAGGGTTGTCGCATATTTATTCTTTTGTAGGTAATTGGGGGCATTTACAAGACAATTTCATTTGTCATTTGAGGGTTCACAAGGTTCTACAAACTGAAACAAGGGACTTAACTCTAGCTTCTTCGTTTGACTAATTTAAATGATGCATATAAATTTCATACAGATCGGATGATAACGTTTGGCGTTCACACGGTTCAACAAAGTTAAACAAGAGCAATAACTCTAAAAGTAATTATATTTAGAAATTGTTGAAATTCAACAGGTTTCTTCATTACACTAATTTACATGATGCGTATAAAGTACATACAAATCGGATGATAACATTTGACATTGGAGTGTTCACAAGGTGAAACAAAATGAAACAAGGGCCATAACTGAAAAAGAAATTAACGGAAATTGCTGAAATTCAATATGATTCTTATTCAGATCAGATAATAACTTCCGTCATTCGAGTGATCATAAGACATAATTAACAGAAATTGCTGAAATTCAATAGGCTTCTTTAAATTAATTCACTAATTTAAATGATGCATATGCATTTCATACAGATCAGATGATATGTTTGTCATTAGAGTGTTCAAAAGGTTCAACAAAGTGAAACAAGGGCCATGACTCGAAATGAAATTCATGAAAATTATTGAAATTAAATAGACTTCTTCATCTTACTGATGTACACAAGATATATCAATTTCAATACAATCAGATGATAAATGTAATCTGTAGAGTTTTCACAAGAAATTGTACGGCAATATACAACCACATTTCAATGTGGGCATAAAAAAAATTAAAAATAACTTCGAGCAATGTAATAATTTGCATTGACTACGTCATGGCGACAACATGCAACATGGATTATGTGGCATAATCATCAAATCATTACATAACTCCATGACTCCAAGAATGGGACATCCTACTTATACGTTCATGAGAATCCCTCAGTGGCAAGCTAGTAGGCTTTCTTGTGGGATAACACTCTTTTTCACATTAATGTTGTCCTTGACATTTTTGTGATCCAGTTTGCTATTGTGGGACATTCTTTATTCATTACCTAATACCAAAATAGAGTCCACAATTCAGAACCCAAAATGAAAACCACTTTGATGTCTTAAAACAAATCTGGTGTGTGTGCTATATTGTTGAATTCCAGATTCTTGTAGCATGTGTGCTACTTTGTACTACAGGTTGCATTTAGATACAGGAGTAAGGCACTAATCAGGAGGTCTGGGGTTCAATCCTGGTGTTGGCTGAGAAAATTCCCTAGTATTTTCCAGTGTGGTTTCCCCATGTCAGTGGGTGCAGGACGGATGGTTGGGAAAAGACAGTAGTCTATTCGTTCAGTTGGGACAAAAAAATAAGGTCCTGTGAACTTGTTTGCAAGCACGTAACAGAACCCTTGAGAGTAGAAATTTGATATGAGAGTAGGTTTAGTGCCACTGTATGGGTAAGGATTTCCTTGATAGCACACTGTACATTAAACGCCCGTCTTCATAATAGTCCAATCTGTGCAGAAAAGTTAGACGCTAACCCCATTTCATTTATTTCAATACTACTCTAGATTATGAACCAAATATAAAATCAAAAAGAATACGAAACCATTTGTGATATCAGTTTACTTTGTATATTTTATTGTAAGAGAAAAAACCAAAACAACCAAGGAGATAAATGTGTATAATATTAGACCACAATGAAAAAAGATTTCAAAAACAGAACATTTACCTCGGTCTTTTGTAGATTTGTTGAACCTTGTAGAGCAAGACTTGGATTACTTCGAGCTAAGTAACGACAAATAGATGATGGTGTTGTAAAACTGGTCTGTCTGAAAATTGAAATACACTAAGAATGGAGTCGTTTGCTATCACAACTTACAGAGTATGCAATTTTTAAGTCAGAATAATAGTCAATATACCAGTATTATTAGATCTAACAATTTGCATCAGATGTTTTAGTTATAAAGTTATGTGACAATTATACTGACACAGAAAAAAATCCTGGAATTTAGTAATCCATTGATTTTCATTAACTACTTTGTTTAATAGATTATGATTTTTTTGCACATTTATTTTTTTCGAAAGTATCGAGCAATCAAACTGATTATCAACTATACACTAAGTTTCATCACTCTCTATCAGATAGAATCAAATTCAAAGAAATTGCTTACGTCTGCTTATCTTTAGTGGAAAATGTTAATCATTGAACTCAGTCAGGATATTCACCTAATGAACATCAAGCTTAAACATTCTACCTCAATTAAAAGCAATTTTTTATGTTCCAAAGTCTTGACCACTCAAACTACTTATCGCTCCTTAGCCTAAGCAGAAAATTCTTATCAAACTTAGTCAAGGTATAGCAAATCTATACTCAGAGTTTCATAGCTCTCACTTAATTATAACCAAAGTTATTATGCCCAAACACATCAACTAATCAAATTGCTCGTCTCTTCTTACCGTAAGTAGACAATGTTCATCATCGAACTCCATCAAGGCATTCACCTAATGAATGCTTATACCAAGTTTGAACATTCTACCTCAATTAGAAGGAGAGTTATTGCGTTTCAAAGTCTTGACCAATCAAACTGCTTATCGCTCTGCTTACCCTCAGCAGAAAATGTTCATTATCGAACTTAGTCAAGGTATTGATGTGATGAAACTATACACCAAGTTTCATCACTCTCACTTAATTAGAACTAAAGTTATCGTGTCCCAAAGCATCGACCAATCAAATTGATCATCTCTGCTTACCCTTAGCAGAAAATTTTCATCTCCGAACTCCATCAAGGCATTCACCTAATAAACACCTACACCAAGTGTGAACATTGTTGCTCAATTCCAGAGTCTTGACAAATAAAATTGCTTATCGCTCTCGTACCCTGAGCAGAAAATGTTCATTATTGAACATAGTAAGGTACTGATGTAATGAAACTATACACCAAGTTTGGTCACTCTCACTTAATCAGAACTATTGTGTCCCAAAGCATGAACCAATCAAATTGCTTATCTCTACTTACCCTAAGCAGAAAATGCTCATCTTCGAACTCCATCAAGGGATCAACCTAATTAAAACTTACACCAAGTTTGAACATTCTAACTCAATTAGAAAGAGAGTTATGGTGTCCCAAAAAAGTGTGACGGACAGACAGACGGACGAACCCATTTTAACAGTCCACTGCTTTCTTCGAAAGGTGGGGGATAATAAAATATAGAGACTCACCCATCAACAGAAAGACTTGTATTGACACCTTCCTCAATTTGTAACTTGCCACCATTGAGTTGGACATATTTACTAGTCAACAAAACGGCTGAAATTTTAGAGATACAATTATGACAGATTCAGGTACACACAAGCAATAATATTTACTTTATTTCAGAACTGTGGAAAATTAGGCCCAGAGGCCAGTCTTACTTTTTGCCCGGGGAAATCATAGATACATGTATATAGAAGTAAATTAATTATGGGGTTTTAGCAGTAAAGGCTGAATACGAATCAAATGCTACTATTTATAACTACTTCAGCTACCATTAGCCTACACCATGCTATCATTTGATTTTGTATGGCTATTACAATTGCTAATAGCTAGGCAATAGCCATAAAAAAAATTTGAGATGTACTGATCTTGTTTTTGGCTACGATTGGGTGTCTTTAGTTTTTCCTAGAAAACTTAATTTCATTATTAATGTATGTAACATCTTGAAAATAAGTTAATTTTATACTATTAAAACTTATTAAACATAATCACTCTGGTGAAACAACTTTGATTTATCTGCAAATATTATCAATACATTAAATCAAGTGTTGTTTTTATTGAAATTGATACGGACATTCATAATTACATTTATAATTACATTCCTAATAAATTTAAAATGCCGAAGAGCCAGGTATTATTCAATTGCTTTGGTTTAAAAAGACATGATTTGTACATGTGTCAGGTAAGATTATATTAGTAGTTGAATGTGGCAGAAATGTTATGAGTAACAATAATCAATCATTGTTTTGATGAAAAATGCTGTCAATTCTGCTTATTGTGGCCCAATGTGATCCCCGTTGGGATTTGCCAGATGGAAATGTATATAACTATTAATTATTATATATATCGCACCATCTGAAACACTGGGCGGTGACTGAGACTCCAGAGATGAGGTTTTTAAGCCAGCTTGAGCTGGTTAAAAAGATGATGAAATCCCAAAGTCTTTCAGGCCAATTAATTATCCCTACAGTACAATAAAACCTTGTAGAGAATTGGTTCTATTTCATTAATGTACCTCTACCAGTTACGGTGGTCGTAGGGACCTGAAATTTTCAGTGGATGTTAAGGGAGAATAGCCATCCAATGATCCATGACCTCATCATATCAAATTTCAGCTGGGAGTAGGCTACGTTTCTGAAATAGTAGAGGTACCGTTATTGAAATAGAACCGTTATTTAACATAATTCTTAAAAGCTTGGGGTTATAACATGATATAAATATTACCAGCTTTATCCTTATTGGTAACCAATTTTAGAGTCATTGTAAATACCACTCAGCTAATGAGCTATCAGCTTTCAACATGTGAACTAATATCGTTGTTGTAAACGTTGTACCGGCACAAGTCACCGTTATCCAGTCATACACAATACTTCGATTACTATTACTAACCTAAGTTTCTTCAATATCTCGTCTGCAAATAAAATTTATAAATCCTTGTTTGTGTTTAAATACCTATTTATACTTCACTCAATTGCATGAGAAAAATAAGTATGGGTTGTAATCTTAATAAAGATATTGCGGGAGATTTCGTCAATTTTACTTTAAATAAATGTTGTAACAAGGTCAAGGAAAATCGAAATCGAAGGCGATCTAGATGTAGCGCATGGAGAACGCAAGATCGGAGAAGGTCTAGCACATGGTGAACGCTAGATCGGAGACGGTCTTATATATGACGTCATATGTTGATTGTGCATTATGGACGTGAGGGTAAGGGTTAGGCCATGGATCGTATCAGTACAGTTCTATGGTTAGGCTTAGTCCAGGGTTAGAGCTAGCACTGTTTACATCTCAAGACCTTGACGAAATGTGCAGGTCCTAACCATGGAGGTGTATATATTGACACCTCTATGGTCCTAACCCTTGCACAAATCCACATATGACGCCATATTGCTAGAATGTGCAGGACCGACCCCAAACTAGCGTTCTCTATGGGCTAGACCGTCTCCGATCTAGCGTTCCTCGTTTAGACAGTTGTAAATAATATCACCTTCCCAGTGAATAATGATAACCAGGCCGGGGAAGCCCTAAACATTATAGTGTGTGGCCGTGTTTTTTTATGTAATCTGTTGAAAGATCGAAATAAATATGTAATTATTCATTAGACAATGTAACACGTTATGAAATGAATTCCGGTAGTTTCAAACAACTACAACTACAACACCTTCCGATTTTCTCAAAGCAAATTCCGGCGATTTTCGGTGTTTTAAAGTAATTCATTATTAATACAGAATACTAGTATATAGGAAGGTCTTAAGATAGATAGATAGATAGATAGATAGATAGACTTTATTACACAAAAACCCTTTTCGGGCAGCATGTAAATTATACATTACAGTCAAATTCCGATATTTTGAAAGTGATTTCCGGTGTTTATATGTTTTCAAAGTGAATTCCGGCGATTTTTGGTATTTTTAAATAATTCATTATTAATATTAATGCAAAATATATGTAAATAGGAAGGCCTTGCGGTCGAATTCTGATATTTGCACGGTGAATTCCGGTGTTTATTAGTGACTTCCGGTGATTAGTACACCCGAATCTTTTCTACTTTCAGTTTTGGCCATATCGGGTGGTCTTTAAGCACGTTAGCGCTCGATCGACGTAACGTTGCAAGTCAAAGAAATACAAATATATTTCCCGGTAAAATCTATTATGCAGCTTTGCCATTGATCTATATAAGATCAGTGAGCTTTACCCTTCCAAATCGGTTACTATGTCTTTAAAACTTTTACTGCGGGCTAGTCATACGTCCTTGACATTTGACCACTAATTTTACACACACAGGCTAAAATATTTTTTTTTAGCATTACATGTTTTTTGGGTATAGGCTAATTACATGTGTATCGTATTAATTGTAACAGATCCATCTTTGGTGATTTAAATTTTACCAAATTAATTAACAGATAAGTTACGCTATGGCTAAATCTGTCTCAAAGTCGGACAAGAATAATTAAAACGTTTTTATATACACGGCTATGTTTACTATAAATTTTCATTATGGCGGACAAATGTCTCCCGAATAGTATTGGCGTACGTGACGATCGTAATGTATGTCAGTTATGCGGTAAACTAGAAAATTTATCATTATGCTCTGGTTGCCGTGATACTTGGTATTGCTGCAGAGAACACCAAAAGGCAGATTGGAAAAAACATAAAGGTGCTTGCAAGGAAAAAACTTTAAAAGTCAAAGAATCCAATCATGATAATGATGGAAATCAACTTGTCAACTCAAATGCAAGGGATGGAAAACAATTTGCCCCAAATAGATTAAAAGAGGACATATGTGAATGTTGTGCAGTTGAGAAAATAACAATGAAGGAAGAAAATGTGTCAAGTGTAAAACAAAAAAATGGAAATAAATGTATAAATTGTAAACAAACTGCCAGTCAATCAAGTAAAGTTAATGAAAGTAGGCCTAGGTCTACAATGTCACAGAGCCAAAAATCACATACCAAACCAGAGAGTTCACAAATAAATTCTGCTTGGCTTAATAATGATGGTGTACGACAGGAGAGCAAAAACGAACCCCATCAACCAAAAGCAGAGATAGACAATTCTGAGACCTATGTTACTGTTTTAAAATCACGTACAGATGTGCTTTCTAAGTATGTGATAGATTGTCTCAATAAATATGGTATTTGTGTGATTGACAATTTCATTGGGGATTCCAAAGGTACAGAAGTTCTTGAAGAGGTGATTAAATTGAGGTCATCTGGAGTTTTCACTGAAGGCCAATTAGTTAACTCGACTACCAATTCCACACAAGAAATTAGAGGTGATGTTCTAACATGGGTAGATGGGCGTGAAGCTGGATGCAGCAATATCCACTTTCTGATATCTTCTATGGATGACGTAATCTTGCGATGTGCAGGAAAGCTTCAACAATATAATATCAATGAAAGAACAAAGGTACAGTATATTCACAGTTCTTTGTAAACACTCTACATGTACATGTATGTATTTTTCATCCTGGGCCATTTTTTGTCAAAAGAACCAAGAGTGCGTATTTACACTCTACTAGAGTCAGGCACTATAGAGGAAGAAGAAGAAGAAGAAGTAGATTATTGTTAGAACAGATTTTAATCAAATTTGGAATGACTAAACCCAAGAATTGCATAATTAATTTTGACTTGTATAATTAACTTGATACCTATGTAATTGCACTATATCTAACTTGGGCCTACTCATCAACATAGATTACAATGTATTTAATTGGAAAGGCTTTTACTATCTTTTTATACACCCACATTAAAATATGGTCATATATTGTCCACGTCGTCGCCCCATCCGGTGGTCCAGCGTCCACAAGCAACTAGAGGCTAAAGTTAATATCTGATTTACTTTAAATTTATACACAGTGGTTATGGTCATGAGCCCTTGATATCTCTGAAAACATCTTGTGCTGGAGGCTAAAGTTAATATCCTATTCACTTTGAATTTATACACAGTGTTTAAGGTCATGAGACGAAGAAGCCTATTTACATTGATTTTCAAAGATTTCCGATAATTACTGCCCGAGTTATGGCCCTTAAACACTTTAAAATATCTTGAGGATGCTCTAGAGGATAAAGTTAATATCCGATTGACTTTAAATTTATGCATAGTGTTTAAGGTCATGAGACGAAAAAGCTTATTGATTTTCAACGATTTCCGATAATTACTGCCAGAGTTATGGCTCTTGAGCACTTTGAAAACTCTTGTGGACGGCAGACGCTCTGGAGGCTAAAGTTAATATCCGATTGACTTTGAATTTATACACAGTGTTTAAGGTCATGAGACAAAGAAGCCTATGGATTTTCATTGATTTCGGATAATTACTGCCAGAGTTATAACTTGTAGCCCATGAGCACATTGTGGACACTCTAGACGCTACAGGTATTATCTGATCGACTTTAAATTTATACACAGTGTTTAAGGTCATGAGACGAAGAAGCCTATTAATTTTCAACGATTTCCGATAATTAATGCCAGAGTTATGGCCCTTAAGCACTTTGAAAAATCTTGTGGACGCTCTGGAGGCTAAAGTTAATATCTGGTTGACTTTAAATTTATACAGTGTTTAAGGTCAGGAGACGAAGAAGCCTATTGATTTTCAATGATTTCTGATAATGTTAATATCTGATTGACTTTATATTTTATACAGTGTTTAAGGTCATGAGACGAAGAAGCCTATCAATTTTCAACGATTTCCAATGATTATGGCAATTTTCTTTAAATGATTTGTATGCTAAATGTTAGAAAAGGGCAGAACTAGTAGCCAAATGGGTTGTTACTCGTAATCAGATTTTAGTGTGTTGTAAATGTTTACATTTCTGACAAAAGAAAAAATATGCCACAACCCCTGTTGACTTTCAGCGTCCCCGGATGACTTAGATGCTGTGGGCATATGTTTTGTTGCCTGACAAACTGTCTTTAAATGTATTGTTTACTTTAGTAAGATGAAGAAGCCAGTTAATTTTCACAATTTATGTTAATTTTAATTATTTAGTAAGTTATTGCATTTAATATTATAGCATTCTAGAATTTATGACTACTCTAGTGTCAAAAATTTATATCATTCATTCTATTTGAAAGTTATATGCACACAGCATTGTTTAAGTAAACTATTTCTGATTATCACATGGACAGTTTTGGATCTTGATTTACGAGTTATATCTTGTCTCTATGTACTGAACACAGATTGCATAAATTTTCCCAGGTTGGCTTTCCTAACTTATTAACGGATAATTATTAAGTCATATTAACAGTTATAACTGTAGGGGAACCATATAAAAACACAAACATTTGATTTATATCCTTCAAAACAAAAAGCAAAATTGTTCAGCAAATGTGTTGTACTACCAGTGGGTAGTGTTTGTGGACTGTTGATAGTATTTGGAATAGTGTTCACATTGCCAAAAATTATATCTACTTAAAACCTTACTTAGTAACAGGATTTGGTAATCAATGTTTTTTTTTTAACTGTTCTCTTCCAATTAAACATTTTTCTTTTAACTTCTTTGAATGAGGTAGTGTCATTTCTATAGAAAAGTTGTATAGCATCCTGATTTCAAGAACCAATCTGGAAGACATTTGTAACAATTTTTATTAGGGTCAAATATTCTGTGGACGTACTCCTGTTTCAAAAGAACTTGATTTTCAAATCATAATTTACATTGTTTTGATTATTAATGTATATTTATGTAAGTGCTGTGTGAAAGTGAAATAGAAATAGAATTCAAAATTAAAAACAAAGGTCATTATAAGACTAATAGATTTAAAGCTTATATATTTCTATTTATTTATTTACAGTATCTGTAAATACAAATATTGGTTATTAAACAGTATTTTGTAAGAATAGTTTATAAAAAAAACATTATACAAATTTATTTTTGTTTCCTTCAGGCAATGGTAGCATGTTATCCGGGTAAGGAAACAGGCTATGTACGTCATGTTGATAATCCGAATAATGATGGTCGCTGCGTTACATGTATTTACTATCTTAATAAAGACTGGGATGTAACTGTAAGTATATTAAATTCTTAACTTCTTTAATTTAGTAGAGTATATCCAAGTCAAAATATTGCATAATTATAATAAATTCAGTAAACTTTGTGTATCCACTGTACCTGGTGTTGGCTTTGATTCTTGTATATAGGGGGACATTTAGTTGAAATACATTAGATTTAAAAGTTCTACTTAAGTACAATTCATATTATGTCAGGTCAATTTTAGTCGAATTTAATTCAATTTCAATTTCAAATATTTTGATTATTTCTTGTACATTGAAATGTTGTTGTCGGATTGACTTGTCATTTGTTCATAGTGATTATGTTTGATTTTCAATCATAAAGTCTGTCATTGAGTCAACTGGCGTGGTTTTGAATCCCCTTTTTGTACGTGACAAGGAGTAGGGTCGCCTGTCCAATCTCGTGGGTTTTCTCCGGGTCCTCCGGTTTCCTCCCACTGCTAAAGACCCCTATGCGCAAGCAAATTATTGAAATAAAATCAAACCATATGTTAGTCCCGAAATGACCTAGTTTGTGTCGATTGGACGTTGAACTCCATTTCTCTCTCTCTCTCTCAATGATTTCTGATAATAAGTGTCCGAGTTATGGCCCTCGATCAATTGGAAACATTTGTGGACGATCTAAAGGCTAAAGTTATCATCCCATTGACTTGAAAATTTACTCAGTGTTTACATGTATGTACATGATGCAAAGAAGTCCTTTAGATGTTAATGTTTCCTATTATCTACACTGCTACAACTAATATGAATTTACAGGACGACATGAAATTTGACATGAATCAATTTGACCATGCATTAACTGGAGTTATTTCCCTTCTGTCTTTTATTGTGCATAGTTTTACTTACATGTAAGTGATGAAATGGATTTTTCCGTGACAAAGTGGCTGACACGAAATGCTCTACGTATGGCATATAGTTTGTTATGCTGCAAGGATAGGGAAAATCTTAGGGTTCATAGGTCTTGACTCTCGATACTACATTGTAGCTATGAACTCTTTATGGGTCTTTGATTAAGATGAAAATACTGAATGAAGTTTGACATTCGATTATTATGAGTATTAATGCAAATATGTTCCATTAGAAAGTCATTAAGATCAAAGTAAATCAGAACATCACCATTTTCTTCAACATTTTCCAATGGGTTTTATTTTACAGAACAAGACTATGTAATGTGGACTGTAGTTTGGACTGTATTATTGCATATCCATTGGCGTGTGTCTGTTAAAAATCGTAGCCCAATAGATTGGTGATACTTGTTATTTTTTGCAGTCTTTACATTGAATAGAAAGATGGCTGTAGGGATGAAACTACAGTCTACAAGTATTTGCTTCGGACTGATATGCCAGTTTACTAGTCAAAATATTGTTTTGAAAATTTTACTAAAATATAATTTACTAATTTGTAGCACAACTAACTAGTAGACTATAGATTTTTGTCCCCCTGTTCTTTCGAAGAAAGCAGGGGACTATTAAAATGGGTCTGCCTGTCTATCCATAACACTTTTTGGGACACAATAACTCGCCTTCTAATTGAGCTAGAATGTTCAAACTTCGTGTAGATGTTTATTAGGTGGATGCCTTGATGGAGTTCGAAGATGAGACAAAAACTTTAGTTCTAATTAAGTGAGAGTGGTGAAACTTGGTCTATCGTTTCAATACATGTATAGCCTGACTAAGTTCGATAATGAGCATTTTCTGCTCGGTAAGAAGAGCGATAAGCAATGTGATCGGTCAAGACTTTGGAACACAACTACTCTTCTCTCCTTCTAATTGAGGTAGAATGTTCACACTTTGTGTAGGTGTTCTTTAGTTGAATGCCTTGATGTAGTTCGAATATGAGCATTTTCTGCTTAAGCTAAGCCTAGATAAGCAATTTGATTGGTTGATGCTTTGGGACATGGTAACTTTGGTTCTAATTATTTGAGAGTGATGATGTGTATAGTTTCATTAAATCAATACCCTAACTAAGTTGGATAATGAGCATTTTCTGCTAAGGGTAAGCAGATCATAACGACTCTGCCTTTGATTGAGGTACAATGTTTAAATTTGGTGTAGATGTTCATAAGGTAAATGGGGATCACGTGGCTAAGTGGGTAAGGCGCTGGCTCGCTAGCCTGGAGGTCGGGTGTTCAATCCCTGCATTGGCCGAGAAAGTTCATCTCGATTTTCCGGCGTGGTTTCCCCTTGTCAGTGATGCAGAACGGAGGGCCTGACAAGGACAGCTGCCTAGTCCTTCGGATGAGACGAAAAACTGAGGTCCCGTGTATACATTGGAATGCACGTAAAAGATCCCTTGGCAGTTGGAATTCGATATAAGAGTAGGCGATAGTGCCGCTGCCCGGGCAAAATTTCCCTCATAGCACACTGTATGGCGTATGCCCGTCTTCATTAGCCCAGTATAGGAGCAGAACAGTAGGACGTTAAACCCCATTTCATTTCATTTCATTTCATAAGGTAAATGTCTTGACAGAGTCAATGATTAAAATTTCCCGCTAAAGCTAAGCAGAGCTAAATAATTTCATTGGTAGATGCTTTGGGACAAGATAACTTTAATTCTAACTTGGGGAGAGTGATGAAACTTAGTGTTGGGTTTCACTACCAGCTACTTCAAAACCTTGATTGAGTTCAATCCTGAACATTTTCTGCTTAGTCACTAAGTTAATAATCAGTTTAATTGCTGAATACCTTTCAAAAAGATACATGTGCAATTAATTAGTATATATCATCTATTTATATTGGGGTTGCGACAGGGACATCAGCCTCATTGTTGACTTGTAGTGATTGGTTAAGCCCTACATGTCTGATATGTAAGCATTGTCTCTGGTACTAATACTTTAGTTTATACTTTGAAGGTGAATTTACCAGTATTTTTTTGACAGAAACATGGTGGTATGTTGACGATATATCCAGAAGGTCAAGATCAAGTGGCAAACATTGAACCAATATTTGATAGGTTATTATTTTTCTGGGCAGACCGGAGAAATCCCCACGAAGTTCGGCCAGCACAAAGAGAAAGGTGTGTATATGGAGCTTTATTAGTTTGTATTTCAGGAATTTTGACTGACTGCAGTTATTATTTGACCCTTTGTATCTTGGAATCATTAATATCAACTTATTGGGTTCACTGAAATAAAACACAACATTGTTGTGTTTTTTTAACTGTCACTTTAAATTGTCGGGGTATTTTCATCATCTCTGTTCATAAATTCATCTATCTATTCATTCACAATTTTAAATATCTTTAAATAAAAGTTAAGAGTGTAGCGTCTATTGCATTCGGTAAGGGGGATAACTCCAGAATAGAAGATTGCGTAACACTGAAATCAATATGATTTGTTCTGCCATCAATGCTTCACACACAATTTGAAAAATATCAGTTATAAACTGTAGCTTCTAGAGAGTTGTAACTATGCAAAGGAGGGATGCAGAACGAGGTTTATCCTCTCAAAATCCCATTGATTCAAACTAAATTGGAAACAAATCATTAAAACTGTAACCTCTATTGAGTTCAGAAGGTTTTTGGAAAAGCAGGTATAACTTAAGGACTGAAGGTTGTGGAACGCTAAATATCGATACGGTTCGTTCGCTCATCAGCCCAATAATTCACAGACGTATAGCCTCTATGGTGTTCACAAGGTCTTCGCAAAAGGCTGTGGGTGTAACTCTGGTACACAAGGTCATAGAACAGTTTACAGCTGGTTTTATTATCATAAAGTCTACCCAATTTAATAATATAACTGAGAACTCCTGTATGTAATTATTATAATATCTGAAAGCATCTCAAAAAAAATATTCCTGAAAGTTTCAGAATATCGTATAATCTCTATGATTCCAAAATTAAATTTACATTTTTTGTGCAGAAGGAGATAGTAAGTTATTTTTGACTGAATTGGATAATAGTCACAGATCTTTGATGATGAGCATTTTCCATTTGGTCTAAGCACAGATAAGCAATTTGTTTTGATGATGTTTTGAGATACAATAACTTTGATTCTAATTGAGTAGAAGTGATGAAACTTGTTGTATAGGTGCATTACATCAATACCTTGACTAACTCCATACCTAGCTATCCCCAGCTATACATGTATGTTGTGTTATATATAATAATTAATTTTCTTTTAGATATGCTATTACTGTTTGGTATTATGATAAAGAGGAACGAGCTGAAGCTTTGAAGCAGACTAAAGGTAAGTTAACAACGTCTTTTGAAAGTATGCAGTATATCACTGTTAAATGTCACAACAATACTGAAGGTTTTCATTTGAATGCTTCTGAAAATATAAAGGAAAAAAAAAAGAGTTATTCCCCTTTAATTTCCTTCTGAATATTTATTGTCTGGACTAAAAAATACACCATCAAAACTTTTAACAGATTCTTATTATGTGTTTTACAGGTCAGAATCCCAGGAAAGTTGCTATACCTCTTATTAAAAATGCTACTGGTAATGGAAAATGAAGAAATGTTGGTCTAGTCTTAGAGAGTATGTTATATAGATACCGGTGTATATGATTTGAATGGAAAATTGATTTTTTTTTTCAGATTATTTACTGTGAATCTTCTTTCTTTTTAATTTATCTAATTGAACAAAAAATCAAAATGTTTGCTGTTGATATTGAATTAAATTTGCCACAAAATAGGCCTATCGTATAGTATTGAAAATAAATGTGTGTTGCAATGATACAAGATTTATTTCCCTCACATCTGAATCATGCAGTTGCTGTACATTCTTCATCTGTTATTCCCTCATCATATTTTCATTATCTTGGTGTATAAAGGAAGGAAAAAGAACAATTGCTTTACGAGCAAGCATAATCCTTTTATCCTGGAGCAGTTAGTACAGTGAAAGTAAGAAAAACACTGGCACAGAAGAATTTACTTTGACTTTAAATTTCATGTGAACAATGGAATATTGACATTGTTTTATTTCTTGTTGACATTGTGGTCCCTGTTTAATAAGCGATTACTCTGGCTTAAACAGAGTTTATTTCTCGATATAATAATATAATTCTGTGACACAATAATTAAATCTGAATACCCATGAATCAGAAATTACTTGTGGCGGGCCAATACCATGTTCAAACTTATTTATAATTCCATTTTCACACAATCAAAAATCTAAAACAATATCTGATAGCATTAGGTTTGGAGTATTGAACCTTTGAATATCATTTTCAGGTGGACATATTTTGTCGTTGCGCCTGTCTGGACCGAAACTGCCGGACAAAATGGCTGCAAATAGTGTAAAAGTATGTAATACCAAGATTGTGGACCCTCTAGAGGTCACTATGTGTATCCGATTCTGATGAAACTTAAAATATGGGTTTTTATCCCACAGATCTTGGTTCCTATTGATATTGCTGAATATCGACTGTAAATTCCTGGATTATGGCCCCTGATTGTACGAAAAATCATGTTTTAGCTTGTGGTTCCTCTTTTGAACTGATTCAGTTATGTTCTGGAATTGCTCCCTGTTTAAAAGACAACTTCAACATCCCATAGACTTTACATAATAGGTTAGAATAGGTTAAACAATATATAACCGTTACACCTTCAAGACGGTTAGAGTTCAAATTTTGTGAAAATTGGATTGAAAATGCCCAATAGAATGTAAAAGTATGTAATACCAAGGCTGGGGTATTAGTGGTCCCAGTTTTTATCCCATTTTGATGATAATGTTCATTACTCAAAGATCTTGGTTCCTTTTGATACTGATGCATGTCGGACTGTAACCTCCTGCACTGTGGCCCCTTATTGTACGAAAATCGCTTTTTTAGCTTATTTTCTGTCCATCTCTTGCAATATGTGGGTGTATCTTGCATGGCAACGGCTTGTTCAAATTTTTATGAGTTACCAGGTTTATATATGGACCCACAGAATGTCTAACTGGAAAAACAGGTTTAAGGTCCAATAAGCAAATTCTTCATATCATTTTAACACTAAGGTCTTTGTTGTGGTTGATCCATGACCTTAATCTGCAAATTTTCAGATGTGAAGCATATATAACAAACTTGTTGTTAATAACTGAAATAGAGAGTGGTAATGTGTAGTGACAAACTTGTTATTATTGACTGAAGTAGAGATTGGTAATGTGTAGATAACATAACTATTGTTGTTATTGACTAAATTAGAATCTAGAGAGTGGTTCCTACCACCATGAATTCTATTGTTGTTATTGACTGAAGTTGGGAGTGGTTCCTGCCACCAACACTTCTATTGTTATTGACTAAAGTAGAGAGTGGTTCCTGCCACCAATACTTCTATTGTTGTTACTGACTAAAGTAGAGAGTGGTTCCTGTCACCAACACTTCTATTGTTATTGACTAAAGTAGAGAGTGGTTCCTGCCACCAATACTTCTATTGTTGTTACTGACTAAAGTAGAGTGGTTCCTGTCACCAAGACTTCTATAGTTGTTACTGACTAAAGTAGAGAGTGGTTCCTGCCACCAAGACTACTATAGTTATTTTTGACTGAAGTAGGGGAGTGGTTGCTGCCATCAAGACTTAGTTCTACAGCTATCTACTTATTTTGATCAATAACAACTGATTTGTTATTGACATACCAAATATGGAATTTGAGAGTTACGGCCATGGATCAACCACAGCAAAGATATTTATTTTAGAATTATATTTGGAGTCTGTTTAACCTATTCTAACCTATTATGTAAAGTCTATGGGATGTTGAAGTTGTCTTTTAAACAGGGAGCAATTCCAGAACATAACTGAATCAGTTCAAAATTTTATCTTTGGCCGCTTGATTGGCTTGTCAAATATAGTGTCGGCACAGAGAAACATGAAAAAATGGATGAAGTAGTTCCTATCCTTTATCAATATTACTTTGTTGTGTGGATGACACCACCTTTATTTGGAATGTTGGAACTTGTGACAAGGGATTGACAATAATTTTAAAACATGATTTGTATTGTGACATGGTAGGAAACCAATTTTATTAATGTTTGATTTTATAATGCATGTTTATCAATATTTTAGCTAGTTCTTAGTTAATATTAGAGCTCAAAACATTAAGACAATTAATGGCAGTTCTGTATAAGAATTAAGTTATGGGGAAATTTGTAAGGCAATGAGACTGGATAGGTTTTCAAAAGCTATATGTTAATAAATATTGTGGTTTCTTCAAAAGAACACAGTGTTTTGGATTGTGTTACTATGTGTATGTGTTATGGCATTATTTTTTGTATTTGAATTAAATGAGTGTGCGATTTTACCAAGATATGATAGAATGTATTAAATGAGTTTTCGAATGTAACTAATTGTTATAGGTTGTTAAATCTATGCTTGTTTTATTTTGTTGTGATAATTATTTAATTATGATACAATTTGTTGGATTTCTGATTTTATAATCTGAAATGGTGTAGGACAGGTGAAGGAGAAAATAGTATGTTGGAATGAGAATAATACATTTAGAAAAATGACCCCAAACAGTATTGGTCTAAAAAGAGAGAAAATTTTAAGATGTGGAAATTTGAGAATCCAAATTAAATATTAGATGAGTAAATTGCAAAACATATTTATTTAGATTTATTAATTGTTCTTCGGCTAAAAGCCTTCATTCTGTTTAATTACATGAACAAGTTAATAAATATATGAAAAGTTAACAAATTAGACAATTTTTGACTTTTTAGTAAAAAGTGGGCAATGGTAAACCTCATTCAGAGGTTATATACTCTTAAAGGCTCAATACCACTCTTGTTGTAACTGAATAATATGTCCCAATCTTTATTCTGGTCAACAAATTGTACTATTGTAGACTATTTAAATTAATTGATGATATAAATTTTATCTTTACACACCTTATTTAAAAATTTTGAAAAATTCAACATAATGGTTTGAAAGGTCTAACGTAAACCTTTTCAAATGAAACTTCGATATTATTTATTTTCTGGAGCTTTCAAGCCAGCAAGAGTGTTATTGTCCCTTTAAGGCTGCATTAATTATTATAATAGCAGTGATTCTCAACCTGTGTGCCGCGAGATCTTCCTAAGTGTGCCGCAAATTTTGAACGGCACACTAAGAAAATGCGAAAAACCATGTGATCCCAATTGAGTATTCACTGATGTAACGGATAAGTTCATAGCTTTTTTTTTGCTTTATTTAGTTTGAGCCATTCTATGCGGGTATGACTAGTCTCTGTCTACGGTTGTATGCCGTCTGATTTACCATGTTTTTATTTTGCAAAATTCAAATATTTTTCATATACATTTAGCCAAGTCTGCCGCTATTTTTTCATGTGTTCCAAGGTGTGCTGTTGGCAAAAAGTGGTTGAGAACCACTGCACTATAAACTCATAAATAGGCAATCAATTGTATAATATCAAATTATTTTTATACCAATCTTAATGTTATGAAATAAATCTTATTGTAAAATCTATAGTAATTCTGTAGTTCCGGATGAAATCCTGGTACTTGGGTGCTGTTGGAAATGTAAACTTACCCACCCGTGGAACAGTCGGTCATCTCATTCGTGGCCGGAGGCTTTTTTGATATTGGGCGGCGGTAGTCTAGGGCACTGGACCCTAGACTCGGATATCTCATTTTTGAATTCCAGGGTGTGTTAGACGATGTCTCTGGATTTTTCAAGCCCTGTCTTCACCTTAGCATGAGTGGCGCCTGTAGAACTAACATTGTCCCTAGTGCTTCTGATGGAAGGCAAAACGAATGTCCATACGTGTACACATCACCATGCAAATAGTAAAAGCCTTGCAATTGAAAATCAAGAAAGAGTAGATTTGATTGGATTGCGCACACCTAACCATAGAAAAATAACATGTTCATATTAAATGACGGAACCATTCCATTTTTTTTATTGACTTCTCTAAAGGTAGTTATGCCCCATTTCTGATTGCAATTTTTTTGAGCCCACATGTTAAACAGATTTTTTCCTTATTTTCTGGAGTCGTGCTCACTTTTTCGAAAAGCTTGTAAACATGATAGAGGCTACAAACTTTGTTTTCAGACAAAGCTGCTGTTTGGGTGTATTCCACGTTGTGCGTGGCTATCTTATATAACAATCGATTGCCAAGCAAGATACGCCCATATTTTTCAAGAGATGGACAAAGAACAGTAAATCTACAGGTAATATTCTGCCCACGACGGGATAGAGTTTTTCACATTCTATAGCAGGGGATATAGCTCTAGAATGGAAGTTCTGGTGCGTACCAAAGGGAAACTCATCCAAGAACTTTTAATTTTCATCTCATGAATCGGACAAAAATTGTTGCCTCTGGAAGGTTCACAAACTCCATAATTTCACATTTTGCGTAAAAGGCAGGGGCATAACTCTCCAGAACGGATGCGTACCAAATTGGACTCATCCATGAATTTGTGATACCTATAACACATGTTTTAAGTTTCATCGAAATCAGAAATCTAGAGGGTCCACAACCTTTGTATTACATACTTACCCTATCAGCGTAAAGGGTAGCGGCCATCCGACGGAAAGTTTTGATCCGATTTTCCGGAAATTCGGACTCGACCATAATTATGGTGTAACGGATATATATTTGGACGGTTTTTACAATCAATAAAGGGGATCACGTGGCTAAGTGGGTAAGACGCTAGCCTGAAGGTCGGGTGTTCGATCCCTGCATTGGCCGAGAAAGTTCATCCAGATTTTCCGGCGTGGTTCTCCCTTGTCAGTGATGCAGGACGGAGGGGCTGACAATGAAAGCTGTCTAGTCGTTCGGATGGGACGAAAAACCGAGGTCCCGTGTACACATTGGCGTTCACGTAAAAGATCCCTTGGCAGTTGGAATTCTCTATAAGAGTAGGCCGTAGTGCCGCTGTCCGGGCAAAATTTCCCTCATAGCACACTGTATGGCGTATGCCCGTCTTCATTAGCCCAGGTTAGGAGCAGAACAGTAGGACGTTAAACTCCATTTCATTTCATTTCATTTACAATCAATAAAAATTGTGACCTCAAGAGGGCCCACAAGCTAAAATTGTGATTTATCGAACAATCAGGGGCCATAATCCAAGAAGTTGCGGCCACTTCAATGCTCAGTAATTTTACTAGCCAGAAATAGCTTTGAAAGTGTCGCCGATGATCTAGACCCCCGGGAGCTTCCAGGGCCTGGGCGACCCCTGGCCCCTCGCCTAAAGTCCTAGGATGGTAGCCCCCCAACCAAGAGTTGCTTCTTCGGCCCTGTTTGTTAAGTCGCTTATCTAACTAACAAATTGATAAATACTGACGAGATAGTTACTTGTAAAATGTTTTGCACTGGTTCATTTTCAAAAATTAAGGTGATGAGATAGCATATTCCGTTTTGCCGTGGCGTTTTGTATTTTCTAATAATTTGTTCACATACTAGGTTCTTCGAATATTTTGCCCTACATTGTTAGAAAGAATCTCTGACATAACGTACATCATCCTTTCTTTAGCGTTTCTGAGGCCAAGTGTCCACTAGCAATTCTATTTCTGACCTGTTTTGTCACCCGACTGATAGCTTATACATATTCGACAACAGCTAAACTGCTTGATGAATATCATCCTAATTTTTTTTTTAGGTTTTTCAATGATGTTGCACTCATGAAACGACTGATTAGGTTTGGTTTACGGCCAGTGTCGTGGATCAGTTTAGTGGAAAAGGTGGGATTGAATCAAGAACAATAACTCTGTAAGTAATAACTTAATTTATACGAGATCAATACTCTTTGCCTTAGCAATTATTTAGGACGGAGTGTTTGTTTACTATGTGTTTGCATAATCAAGAAACAAACAACAAACAAAATTTTAATTTTAGAATAAGTTAAAATGATAATAATAATTTTAAATTTGTGTGTAAGGCATTTGTCGTGATAATATGCAAAGAAGAAAAAAATAACAATAATAATATTAGTAGTAATAAAGGTAATAATAATAATAAAGATTTAAAAAATGGTTGATCTAAATAATATCTAGATCTCTATCTTTGATATGTACTTTTTTCTCATTTGATGGAACCTTATTCAGGTTATTATTATCCGGTGATTTGGGTCGCGAGGAACTACCGGAATTATCACACGAATGATGCCGAGGCGTCGTGTCCTGGTGATCATTCTTATAGTTTACTGTTCTTTGGGGGGAATTTTTGGGTGATGTTTTTGGTGAGTATGTTTTGGGAGAAAAGTTTTCACTATTGGAGGAAACGGTGTCATGTGGAGAATTATATTTAGAACTTGGATATGTTGAAATAAATGAATAACTCGGTGTTGAAAGTGGCGAAAAGAAACGAATAATGTCACACATTTGTCCTTCAATTCTGTTTATCTTTTGATTCAAAATGTCCAAGTCTTCCTTGATTTCAAGTTTGATGTTGATAAGGGAGGTTATTAGGTGTTGTTCGACGGGTGAAAGAGCACTTTTTCCTGGGTACGACCGAACTTCCTCATCCGTCTCATCTAGCCTATTATTACTCTTGAGAAACCCAGAATCTACGGATTCAGTTTTCTGAAGATTGGACTTGACGCCCACATTATCCACATTTTCGTAGGCCGAGTCTATTTTGTCTAAGATATTCCATTTTGTTGTCGGCGGTGCCTTCTCTTGTACTTCTTGTTCGGCTAAATCATTTGTTGAGGCACTATTTCTGCCAATGCGATTGAGAAATTTTCCCCATTGAGATGGCCCAACACTATTTTCTTTCTTCTTTTCTTTAATAAAGTTAGCCACAGAAGGTTTTCCAGCTTCTTCGTCTACTTCCTTCACGGAGTGTTTGTTGTCGCTTATCTTACGGAACCTAGAAATCAACTTTCTAACCGGGTGATCATTCGACAAATCTAGCGGGGGATCATTCTTTCTCTTTTCAGCCAATTCTTTTTCCTTTTTCATGTCGGCCACCTTCCTAAATATTAACTGTAAATAAAAGATTAGAATATATACGTCGAGTTTTGAAATAGGGAAAATGTTAACGGATGCATAAAATGGCACCCTCTCTTTGATCTGAATAAAATTTAACCATCACTAACTAAAATTAGGACGGGAAAACTATAAAGATCTAATTTATATTAGATTGCAGCCACTATAGCACATCTTTGGCACGAGGGAGGCGGGCTTGGGGAAAACCCGAAAATTCTTTTTGGCCCGTGATTTGATTCACTTTCCTAAAGCAATGGTAACGATTGGTTGCCTGGTCTTCCTAACCGCTGGACAACAAGATGGATTTAAAAGCACGTATGTGGTCATTAAAATGCTTAATACTTACTCTGTGTCGAAGATTGTATGTCAATGTCATATTTCTCGAAAAGGAATTAGCGAAGGCATGGTAGAAATCTAAAACTTCTAATAGTTGCTCCCGTTTGATTGTATGAAGATCACAATAAGTTAGAGCTCTCACATTTGCCATTGATTGACCAATGCCAGTTTCCTTCCAAAAAATATCTCCAAATACATCTCCTTTACCTGAAATAAAATGTATTATTTTATTTTTATTCTCACTAATTATTATGGGATTAAAACAACAAGAGTACTAACTAAACAATCTTATTTTTGAGAAGTTTACTTTGATCGCCTAAGTGCCTGCTCAACTTGTTCATACATGTATATATATACAAATTATGATGCTACTGCTGTCTAATAAGGGGGACGTCGTTTTCACATATCTGCCTCACTGCAGTGTGTTCATACTACCAGATTCTATTAAAATACTTCAGTCTTAATTATGTTTGTTTGTTTTGCTACCGTGTTAGTACACCATTAGTTTAATTCATGTGTTCCCATTAATTATAATATAGAATATCATTAATAAATGTCACATTATAATATTTACAGTTATCAGTATAGGATTACACTCTTTCCTATTAGAATTTGAGGCAAAACTTGTTTGCGTGGCTAAAACAGGACTAAATATAATATAACAGACAATGACAGATCCACATGCTGTTAAAAAGAGAAGACATGCAATTTCCAGTCAGTCATTTAAACATACATTATGCAAGAGCTAAAAATGCAGGAGCGAGACTTAGCTTCGAACAACCAGTACGGTGGTCGAAATTATTGCACACGTCTTGTCAAACCTTCAAAGGCTAACATCTTCGCTCGTAATAGAGTAATCTGAATGAAATTTTCAAATTATTCATTTTACATTATCTATTTTCGAACTCTTATAGCAAGAATGACTAGCTCTTTATCTAAATCTTACATAATGCATCTTTAAAGGTTTCCTAGATTACTGACAAAGATCACAAGTAACTGTACGTCGATGGACATAACAATTAAATATGAATCCTGGAATCAATCGATAAAAAAGTACATTTCATTTCAAGGTGGAGCTGAACATTTGTTGCTCTTTTTCTTTGGCAGGGGTGGGGTGAGGGTGCTGGCTTAAACTTACTTAATATGGCAACCACTTCTTCATCTTGTATCACTTCTAAAGATCCAGAGACAACAAAACAGAGAGCATCCAGGCTTTCTCCAGAATGAAATATAAGATCACCGGGCGCACTGTGAGTCATGTTAAAATGCATTGCTAAAGCACGTAAACATCCATCACTGGCCAGTCGAAAAGCTGGATGTTCTAAAAACACCTTCCTATTTAGATGGACACACAAATCAGCTTTCATGTCTTTTGGACAGAAATTCAAAACCTGAAAAATGTCCATTATGTTCAAAACGATTACAATATAAACAAAAGGTAGCTGGTCATCGTAAAATATATCCAAGTTTTCATTGGTGGGGTTTTCTGAACAGGTAGGTCGTTATGATTGAATATAAATATGCATGTATTTAATCAGTTGTCAGGAAGGAATGTTCAGACTGGGTTATTCGAACGATCGTATCGGATTAAAGCTATTGGGATTTTCAAACTTTAGAAAGGACGTTGCTCAACTTAAAGATAGCACAGTGGACAAGAAAAGAACCGTTGAAAATAGCCGTGTAGTTAGATTTTAAAAAAGAAAGCCGCTGACAAGGAATCAAAGCTACCCCGTCATAACATTGCTATAAAATTTTTAGTTATAAACTAGCCCAACCTAATTAAAGGCAGAGTGTGGAAAATGGCCAATAAAGATTTTCTAGGGTAAATTTTTTTTTTTAAATTAAGAAATGAAAAGTGTTCTTTAGATCATCGATGATTTTGAATTTTATTGCCGCGTGAAATCAATAGAAAATAATGTGAACTTTATATGGCCATAACTTAAGTAATAGTATTTGTACCAATATGCTGTTCTGAAAAGCTATATCTGCTTTTCATTCTTAAATATTAAGCGTTTATCTTTCTAAAAACATACCTTCGTAGCATCGATTCCCTTCGATATTGCCCAAGTTGAGACTATATAGTCCATGACTCTTTCACTCAATGATTTAGGTACATCATGAAGTTTCATAAATTCACGAACACTATTTAACATATCGTGGTATCTAGCAAAACTGGCATAGAATTGTTGAAAGATGGTGGTGACGTTTGAGAAAATTGTGGCATACAGTAAAGCTGTAAAATATAAATAAAAGAAATGAAATGTGGATTAACGTCCTACTTTTCTGTTCCACCCAGGACAATGAAGACGGATTTACGCCATTCGCTGTGCTAAATCCAATGTGTACATGGGGCCCCTGTTTCCACCCAATCCGAACGACTAGAGACCGTTCCTTGCCAAGGCAAACCACGCCTGATTATTGAACCCGGGGTCTTCAGGTTAGCGAGCCAACGTCTTACTCATTTAATTACCGCGGCTTCTGTAAAATATAATCGAGCATATACATGCTATTCTTACGAAGGTCTTCGTCGGTAGGCAAAAACAAATAGTTCGATTTGAAGTGATTTACTTCATTAATAGGGTGTTCAATTATAAATAACAAAGATTAGATATTGTTTACTCTAAGCAGGACAGTGCTTGGATTTTCGATAAGTAGGTCTGTCTAAATATGATATTTTCTAAAATAATATTGTACATTTATTTGTGCAAATCATAATGACCGTATAACTATTTATTTTGTATTAAAATTACAAAAGCAGATTCATTGGGTATTGGCGTTGATGTTGTATTGGAGTTTCTAAACTTGTTAATAAGGTAACATCATGGTATTTATTTTTCCTAGAAAAAAACCCCCTTACCTCCAACAATCATCATGAAGACTGAAAAAAGTTTCTCGGCTTTGGTATTAGCTGCCACATTTCCAAATCCAACACCAGTCATGCACGAGAGTGTAAAATAAAGTGACGTCAGGTATCTCATTTCAACATCCGGCCCACCCAGTAACTGATTTGGAGTGGTGTGATTGGAAAAGGAAAACATCTCTCCTGTTACCCTGGATAATGCGGGTAGCCATCCATACGTTACTTTGCTACCCAACTCTGCGTAGCCAATAGAGTACCAAATACAGGCGAACCAATGCGCGAACAAAATGAAAACCAGGATTAGAAGAACCAACATGGCCGCTCCATATTCCAAATAATGGTCTAATTTACGCACCACTCGACCAAGCCGAAGCAACCGGACTACTTTTAAAGCACTGAATAAAGTACTTATTCCCTAAAAGAAAAAGAAAAATAAATTATGACTTTTAAATGCAAGCCATTTACATAACAGACGCCAGATAAAAGAAATCCACACTCTGTAAGACACTTGTTGGTTTGGTTTTTTTTTTTAAAAATAAATATTAGAAATTATTGTGGTTTAAAACTGGAATTTGAATTTTGAGCTACTGCTGTATGCTTCGTTAAAAAGAAAGGGACAGACGGTTGTGCCATATGACTCAAAGAACCATCCTTTACTCATCTGGTCTGTTTTGCCTTGAAATTATTTACATTAATTTTCTTATTGAAATTTATAATGCCTCTTTATAAACAATGTTAATACTATTATCAAGAAAGTATATACAACTAATTTAAAACTTTAGGTTTTGACTTTATATTCTAGTCTATTGTCTCTTTTAGCGAACAGATAACGGGAGGTACTCACATCATCTACGTACTGGAATGCATTGAAGACATCATACGGTAAACAAGACAGGAGATCAATCACGAACCAGCTTCTTAGGTAGTGCATTCTAATAACCTTCGGGTCGGATATAACTTCACCGCTTGACCCAACAAATGATGTGTGGAAATTGAGAACAATATCAACAAAGAACACTACGTCAACCATACTGTCTATTACCAATAAAGGTAGCTGGTCCATTGTCTTAATCTTAAAGGCTGCATTAAATGGAACCATAATGGCCGTGTAGAATGTTAGAAAAAGAATAATCCAATCCCAAATGGTTTTGAACAAACAATAATGAAGTATAATGTGTGGGGGTGTTTTGGGTGCTTCTAAGCGATATTGTGGTAAAACGTCTGCATTCAGATTCATCATCTGAAAAAGAAGGGTATATCTCATTAACATGAAAACATAGGCGGTTTTGTATACAGAAACCATTAATGGTCAATATTCTTTACTAATCCGAATCGTCTAACTCTTTTACTTGCGTTTTTGATGGCAATATGTAGGGTTGATGGTCCTTGGAGAGGCAGAGATACCCTATTTTTGTTAGTTTTATTTTTAATTTCATGAGTTTGATACTCGGTGAAGATAAAAAAAAGATACGAAGGTTCTGTTCTTTTTTTTAGTGTTTTCTTTCAGAACTTCCGTGGTTTACGATAATTTACACATGGGTTCCGTCCCCTACCTTCGAAAGCTGAATGGTTACCTTTCCCAAGATGCGTCTCCAAACCCCCGGACATCTTTTACCTAGGATTTGTATACCATCCAGCGGCAGATTTTTACACAGGGGTTTCAAATGACGGTATGGCCAAAACACCCCTGAAGATGCCTCAAAAATCACCGACCCTTCGGAAACTAACAAATTACGCATGATCTTATTTCGCTGATCTTCACCTGGTCGGCAGTCATCACAATAACCATAAAAGGCTAGTGGGGGAAGGATAAACTTTACGGACTAATTTATCGATTTGTTTATTTTCCATTTGGACAATTTACTTTTTTACCTGGCTAATTGAGAATAAATAGCCCTTAAGCATATCAATAAAATCTCCATATTTTCTAACTATGGCATTATCTCATTATTTCAAGAAGCGATTTCATTGTGCAGGACACTATTCCGTATCTTAACAAGCGGTTGCCATGCAAGATACGCCCATATTTTGCAAGCGTTGGGCAGAGAACAAGCTAAAAAAAGTGATTTTTCAGGGGCCATAATCCAAGATGTTACGATCCGATATGCGCAGTTTAGTGGGTCCACAAGCATTACATACTTCTACAGTATTTACGTACAAGAAGTGGCCATTTTATCGGGCAGTTTCGTTTTAGTTTTCACAAAATTTGAACTCATTATGGTGTAACGGAACCGAGATCTTAGGGATATAAACATAAATTCTAAATTTCATCAAAAGCGGGTAAAACGTTGACCTGTAGAGAGTCTACAACCTTGGTATTACATCCTTTACACTATTTGCGTACAAGGAGCGGCCATTTTATCGGGCAGTTTTGGTCCGATTTTCACGAAATTCGAACTCATCCGTCATTAGGGTTCAACGGAGATATATTTAAACGGTTTGTGAAATCGGATAAACAAAGTGACCTCTAGAGGGTCCATAAGCTAAAAACGCGATTTTCCGTACAGGAAGTTACAGTCCGATATCCGATATGCGCAAATATCGAATAGAACCGAGATCGAGATCTAGTTTTTATATTTTACACTGACATTTTATTGCTTTAAATCTTCCTAGTGCAAAAACGGAAAATTTAACCTTTTGACCCCCGGGGTCACTAAGACTAAAGGTGAATTTAACAAGTTTACATTTTTATTGAAAGAGTGATTACTTTCGATCATTTTCAGCATAATTTCATGATACAAGAATGACTGCGCAATCACTTTCAGTGCAAATGACCTCATTTGACCTTTGACCCCGAATATCTCTAAAACGCCCCAACGGCGGACTGATTCCCACTCGGCATCGTATTCTACGCAAAATTTTACTATAAAAAAGTTTGGTTTGGTTTTGTGACCATTTGATGGACACCCCCGCGCACTGAGTCTCCGGTCTAGTTGAATTATTATTTCACATAAAATCGAATGATATAAGATGCACAGGGGATTAAATGTGTGTGTGGAGAGTATTGGGTGTCACAATAAATAGTTGGTCTCAAACTAAGTGCAGTCACTGAAGTCGGTATAAAAATTATGCATTGGCGACTAAATAAATTAATGAGTAAACAAACAATGCCAAAATAGAAGGGAAAATCCCAAATATTTGATATACATGTATGTACATGTATGTATGAATATATCTGTGTATACGTATGATTTGATATCACAATACGCGCCAGTATTTCAAAGCTGAAATTAGTAAAAACTGTTATGCGTTCAGTAATGAAACAAGAACGCCCAACAGGCTAATTGGACCACAATGAAGTTGCTTTATTCACGGTCTGGAATAGCACGAAAACTCGCCTGCGGCAGTTAAATTTTCAAAATTTTCTCCCGACGGACCCGTCTCCAGGGACTGTAAACGATTGGTTGATTGGAAATTTGACTTAACCACCTAAATTACGCTATATTAAACCACTTTGAAGTTTCTATATTCACGGGCTGGAATAGCAGGAAAACGCGTTTGTGACCGTCAAATTTTCCAAATTATCTTTGGAGATGCCTACACGTAAGATCCACTTCTTCCCCTCTCGCAGACGACTGTCGCCGCCGTCTGTAACCCGAATTTTTTCGGGCATTTCGGGTTTTGTCCCCTAACTTTCATCGAGCTCATACGCCTATGACAACATCGCTGATTGGTGGTCACACTTGATGAAAATATGATGACATAGTCATATTTTTGCTAATTTATGTATATTCGAAGATATAGGTCTATGTAAATTGTCACATATTCACAGTACTTTATACATCCTTGCAAAATTCTTAATAAATAACATGAATTCCCATGCGTAGTACACACTTTTATAAGTGTATTCGGACCATCAGAATTCCAGGAAATGGCATTTCAGTAACTCTAAATTCAAAAATTTCTCCGAGGAACCATTGCCCCGGAAACAAGCTCGCAGCTCTGAATTTAGTAGACATAAGTTACAAATACTGACAACAGCATAGACCATGCCCATACAAATATGGATCAGGATAATGGACCTTATTCGTATAATGGAAACGTTTTACTTTGAAACTTACATTAGCAATCTGTGATGGTTTAGAGCTGTCGAATTTGGTATTTGGCATATGTGATGAAAACTGCAATAATGTCGATCGATTTCTGGTGACAGATCGAGCTAAACGTGCAAATTTGCTTAAACCTATTGTAAAAAGACATTCGCGGATTAGTAATATGGATCTCTGAAAAGAGCATGTAAAAAAGTTAGAGCAAATACAATATTATAGCGATTAAGTATGCCTGATTGATGCATGGATTTGTACTTAAACTATTGTATAGATTGTGAGTTGCACAAATTAATTACCAACGAAAAAATATTGATAATAATGAACCTCGATTATAGAGTGAGTTCTATATTGAAGACAAGTGGAAATGTCAATGTCATATTCAGGGAAAATAGTTAGATATACACCATGCAATGTATGTGCTAAGAAGGGGATCTTTCCACGAATCTTGATTCGGATGCGTGTTTGACGGATTTACATAAACCCATTTTGTAATTTATTATAAAGATAAGTACCTCTTCCTGTTTCGTCATCAATAGGTTGTTTAAGCGCGGTTATATCTTTGAACGTTGATAAAAATAACACCACCTGATCCTTTTCATTTTTAATAGGGGCCACATGTACCATCAACCATAATGGTGTACCTGTATCAGAGAGATAAAATATGAAGGATTAATATAAAACTGTTCAAAATGGGTGTAATTAAAAACTATAAGCAGTGTTAATTAAGTGTGAACTTTACACCACAACTAGCGTTTTTAAAATGTAATACTTTTGCGCAAGGGTAACCAACTAAAAGAGCTACACCTAACAAGTGTAACCTATATTCATGACTACTGAACACCTGAATAGGTGTAATTGTGGAGTATTTTGGTTAAGCTACTCCACTACCAGTGTTATACTGCATTTACACCTAGGTGTGTAACTATTATTGGGGAATAAATCCCAGAACAGTGTTAATTTTACAGCGTTTATTGGGTTGCAAAAGTGTTCGTGACTTCAATTTAAGTTGGGTTTTTTTTGGATGACGTTAATTGCACTAGTAACACAACTATAACTCATTTTAGAGTGTTTACTCATAACGAATATAAGTCTTCCAGAATATTATCATGTATAATAATCTTAATAATTTTTCAGAATGCCTCGCAAGTATAGATTATTTTAGCTTGTATACACTTAAAGACGTGTAATTGTTCCAAAATATTACCAAGTACTCTATCTTAATTAATTATTCTTAATTCAGGCGAGGTGCATAAATGAATAAACCACATTATTCAGCTAAGTTATAAGGATATGTGTATTGATTTTTCCTCGTGTTTATTTTCATTGTAAATTGATACAGGTTGTCTGATTGCCCAACAGCCGTTGAATTTGAATCAGTCTGATGGATATTTGTCAATTTAATGTCGTTGTAAAATGAAGCGAAATAGCCGACGGTCTATATGTACTTTAGGTCGGGCTAAACGCCCTATACTAATTATCATAGATACAATTTCAAGCTTTCTGAGCTTAGAAGTCGTTGGCTTGAAATAAATATACAACAAAACAAATTACACCCCCGTAATAATTAAAATGTAAGGGTAATTTACAAAACATCTTTGAGGTGTAACGCTTAATCTACACCCACGGGTGTAAACTATTAAAGATACATTGTGTAAGATTTAGATAAAGAGCTAGCCATTCTTACTATAATAGTTCGAAAATAAACAATGTAAAATGAATAATTTCAAAATTTCATTCAAATTACTCTATTGCGACCGAAGATATTAGCCTTTGAAGTTTTGGCAAGACCTGTGCAATAATTTCAACCACCGTACTGATTGTTCGAAGCTAAGTCTTGCTCCTCCATTTTTAGCTTAAATCAAAATATGGCTGAACTGTTCTAATCTATTTAATATCGGAGAAATCCGATGCCATCGAGAGTCGATTATGGTCTGGATAAGTTAATGTCTAATTAATAATTTAGAAAACATTTCAGGCCTAAACAAAGACTTGCAATAGGCAGATTTAGCTCTTGCATAATGTATGTTTAAATAGTTTAAGTGTAACATTTCACTGTCTGTGTGCAACACTCATCCGAATGCGGTGCATCAGGCAGGTTACACTACTGGAAGTGGCAACTAGTTTCCACCTGAATTGGTGAAATATTATACCCTAGTTGGGTGTTATCAGTTTACACCACAAAAGGCTAGGAGTTACCCCTATTTAGGTGGTAACTAGTTTCCACCTGAATTGGTGTAAGCTGCCATATTATTTTTAACAGTGTAGTATTTGTGAAACCACCGACATATTCGAGTAGCGTGTCCAAATGATAATTCAGATGTAACAGTGGTATCTAACCTCACTTTTTGTGTTTTAATCATCTAGATTCGTCTACCCTTATTTGACCACTTTCTACAAGGAAAATGAGTAAAAATGAACATTAGCCTTCTGGTGCACCCAGGCTTTGCTCTGTAAAAACAAATGTTGGCCTGGAGGTATTTAACTGTAAATCCATACTTTACTTTTTTAATATCAACTTAATTAATTTGAAAATTTAATGACCCCCCCCCCCCCCACTTTTGGAAACCCTGCAGATACAACTACCAGTGTTTTTTTAATAGCTACATATAATATAAATGGCATCAAAATTATACAACCACACGATGGAAAATTTCATTATGAGAATAATACTTGAAATGGAACTTCTTTGCATTGATCCAATAAAACATAATTAATTGAAAGTAATATATAGTTGGGGATCTAAAGTACCATTGTAATAATACATGTTACATAGCAACTTCCTTTATAATTAGTATACCAGTGCCATAAGTGCCGAACATGTCATGGTGTACTACCGGTAATCCATAAATCCATATACCGGTATTCCATATAAACTTAAGTTTAAATCAATATATGTTTAGTGTTTTTCATCGTCGTTAAAGATACTGTTGAAATCGCTATTAAATGTTCGATGGAAATAATTGACTACATAGTATGACAAAACAGATACGTCTGCTTGTAGGATTCGGAAATGGAAATGGTAGCAATCGAGTTTGGGTTGTTAACAAATTAACAGGAACGTCAATTGCATTTTCAACTTTTAAGAACTTCAGCGTTGAATTACATGTAGAAGGCAATTGGCTTCGAAGATGACGGCACTATGGGTTATTTAGTGGAAAGCAGCCCTATTTTATTATGTACCACGACCTTCGTAGCAAAAAGATAGAGCAATATACGAAAGTTCGCAATGTTAAAGGGGCATTGTGGGGGATCAGATAAAGAGTTGCAGTAAGTTCTTGCTATAATAGTAAAAAGAAAAATGATAACGTAAATAGAATATACTGAAAATTTCAGCCAAATTGCTCTACTTTGAACCGAGATATCAGCGATTGAATTTTAGGCCTAGCCTCGATCATCATTACTAAAGTCGGTACGATAAAAACCCAAAGTCTCGATTATCCATTTTGAAGTTAAATCATCCATCACAAAATGCATTCAAATCCAGTAAATATAGGCTAGCGATGCCATCGAGAGTTGATTATGGTCTAGATAAGTTAATTAATGTCTAATTAATAATTTAGACAACATTTCAGGCCTAAAGAAAGACCTGCAATAGGCAGATTTAGCTCTTGCATAATGTTTAAACATACATTATGCAAGAGCTAAATCTGCATATTAACTTATCCAGACCATAATCAACTCTCGATGCCATCGCTAGCCTGTGATGTTTATTGAATTAGGTTCCAATTGCTGTTCGACTTCCATTCATGATTAACTCATAAAATGGACAATCGATACTATGTTTTTTATCGTACCGACTTTAGTAATGATGATCGAGGCTAGGTCGAAAATTCAGGAATATGGGAATATGGGAGGCATAGGTGACAGGGAAAATCTAAGTCCAGTGAACAACTTCCAAGACAATAACTCTGTGAATTATTGACCAATTAGGTTCACTGTAGTCATAAAATATTGTAGTAAAAATATTCATATAGTCTACATTTTACATATATTCTGGTCTGAAATTTACCATAAAATCAACAATAAAAGCCTTTAATTGAGCCCGGTTACACATGGCTGGACTAGCCTATAATAAATGCGGCTGTATTTATTTCTATTATGGCAAAGTTTGATTCCTATGCGAGCAAAATCAATATTGATTTTATAAAACTACTTTATTTGAACAACTCAAAACATTTATAAAACTTTCAGACAATTAGTGATAAGCGTATACATAAGCGTATTTAATGAAACACCACACTGCTAATTGTCTCATCTGCTGTTTTCACGTCCAACTAACATTCTACATTTACATTCGTAATTGGATTTATTTTTGGCATTATGTACACTAGTTTTTTCTCTATTGGGGGATATTTGACAGAAATCTGTTATATTAAGGAAAATTATTTATCCACCCCCAATGAAATTCGGTCCTGTATTAACGTATTTGTGTGGGTATAACATTTTATCTTTCTCAGTACATAGTGTAGTTGTGTGGATAATTGGGTCATTATAAGCTAGAATAATTCGATTTTAACATAACAAATTCATTATGATTAACCCAGTTGTATAAACTAAAGGACAAATAGTCAATGTAGATAATGAATTCAAATATTATTTTCTGTTTCGTGGAAGTAAAACGTCACTCCCAAGACAGCACCTTCTTCACTAACCAACAGAGTGAAGATGACGCCGTGTTGTTACCAGAACTTTCTAAAAACGCTGGTTATTCTGATGTGTTTTCTTTAAAGGGACTATCCCGATATCAAGAGAGTCTCAAAAATAAAAGTCGGAGTACGTATGAAATTTAAGCGCCAAAATATAGAGGAATGGGGTATTTACCTTCTCTCAAAATTCCAGCTCAACATATTGAGTCGTTTGGACGTGAATGTCAAAATTGCTTATCCGGACACGTAACCCTTTTAAGATTTCGGGTCAGTTTTTTCGTTGGGTGACCTGATAATCGATTCCCATTCCTTGAGAGGTCTATGTAGTGAATGACCCATGTGCTGTACTTGATAACGAAAGGTAAATTTCAACTACACGTTATTTTTATAAAATAAAAGTCTGGTTTTATCCAGACACCGCATAATACAGCTTTGGACACCGGTCTCCATTTCCAGACGGAGACTGACGGGTTTAAGTGGGTTGAAAACTCATCACAAATATTGAGTTAGTTGCTCGGCCCTCAGCTAGAGGATTTTAAGGGATTTTAACACAAAATTAAGCAGTTTTATTCTCCAAAAAATATCGGGATTAGCCCTTTAACTATGTTTTGATACCCCCTTGTAGTTACGTTTCTAGTTCAACTCAAATTTTCGTATCACGGTCCGCACGAACTTTTCTCAGTTTTAGGTTGGTTGTCTTGTAATTTAGGAAATTTTGAAAAAGAACAAATGACTATCCTATAGTTTTGAGAAAATGTTCAATAATTGTATCAAATCACCGTCATTTCTAAAAGTTGTGTTGAGCGTGGTAGAACGTATGTCTCGTTTAAGTGGCGCAGTTTTAATGTTAGAACTTACAGGGACCAACCCGATTTTAACAGTCTCGGGAATAGTGTATTTACCTTGTCTGAAAATTTCAGCTCAAAATATTGAGTCGTTTCGACGTGAACGTCACAACCGCTTATTCGGACACTAACCCTTTTAAGATTTCGGGT